AAATATTTTTTTAATTTTTTTTTTTTTTTTTTTTTTTTTTTTTTTTTTTAAATTATCTTTATTCCTTTATTTTATTAACATATATTATTTATTCATCATTTTTTTTTCTTTAAATATTTAAAATTTAATTGAATTTTTTAAACTAACCTTTTAAAATGCTTATTTTGTTCTTAATTTTTTTTCTTTTTTATTTTAAAATATATTGTAAACATATATATATATATATCTTATATATTTATTTTATTAATTTCAAATAATTTTCTTAATTCATTTTTTTATTTTTATTTATTTATTTTTTTTTTATTATTTATTATCTACATACACCAATTAAAAAAAATATATGTACATTAAGATATTTTATTTAAAAAAATATATATATATTTTTTTTTCGTAGAAAAAATGGTGCTGTAAGGGGTAAAAGTTTATAATGCATATTATTAAGAATTAAAATATTAAAAGAAAAAACTAGAGATTTTATGAAATTTATTTTATTGAAGTATTTATATTTTTCTTTTATAAATTTTTTTCTTTTTTTTTTTTTAATATTTTTCATTTATGTTATCTTTATTATTTTGCAAAAATATGAACAATTCATAAACTTTATAATATTTTATTGTTTAATTTATAAAATATAGAAAATAAATATATGAACTTTATTGAATAATGAATTGTATTATTTCCTTTTATAAGAGAAGAATTACTCAAAAAAAAAAAAAAAAAAAATAAATTTATTGCTTATGTTTTCTTATTTTTGCTAAAAGTTAAAAAAAATCTGTATCTTTATGTTTTAAAATATTAAATTTCTTATAAAAGCAAAATTGTGACTAATTAGAGAACATAATAAATTTCTATTTTTCTTTAAAAAAGATAAATATTAATTCTTGAAGTATATTAAAATAAATAATTTTATTTTATAATGAGGATAAAGTTTCTAAAGTGTAAAATAAAAATGAATATACGTTATAAGGAAATTTAATTCTTTAATTAATAAAAAGAAAGCATTATGTTATTTGTTTTTAAAATAAATTTATTCTTGTCAATTTAATTTCTTTGAACTCTTAATAGGCAATATTAATATATTAATATATTAATAGGAAAATTTAGAGATTTATTGTTTTCATTTATGTTACTTTTATAGTTCAGCATTTAGCATCATATATTTCACTTAAATTGTGAAATAAAATTATTTAAAAAAAAAAAAAAATAAAATAATTCTAAAGGATATAAATGCATCCTTTAAAAATTGTTACTTCGATAATTTACTAGATGCTCTTCTGAATTACAATATGAATAATTCATTTATGGTTTTATTTTTTTTTCTTTTGAATGTTTCATTTAAATTTTAATACGCAAGTAATTCTTCTTTTAATTTAATCAGAAAAGTTAAGATAGTAAAAATATGATGTATTTCCACATTATACTTTTTTTTTAAAAAAATGTTTTAAAATGAGTCTAATTTTTTTCAAAAAAACAATCCTAATATTAGCACAAAAAAATAAGCTAAGAAAATATAAAAAATCATAGCAAAACAAGAGAATAATTAGTTTTTTTTTTCTTTTTCATATTTCATTTTAAAACCTTTTTGCATTAAATAAGATCTTCACTAGTATAATAAATATATTTATTAACTTATAGGAAGATGAAGAATATAAATGTGTTGTTCAAAATTGTATATCTTTTTTAAAAATATATAAGAATATAGTGAGAATAATATTTAAAATACATATATATAATAAAATAATTAATGCTACTTTATAAAAAAAATTAACTAAATTATTGTATTTTCATCTGTTCCTTTCCTTAGTAGATAAAGAAACACAAATAATATCATTTTGAGATATCTTTCATTTTTAAAAAATATATTAAATTAAACTTTCTTATAATGAAAATATGTTTTTTCTCTTATTTTTCACATTAATATAGACTTTAATTTTTTTTTTAAATTACAAGGATTAATATAATTAATTGCTTTATTTTAACATATATGAATATCTTTCTGTGTTTATGTAATTGCTACCTTAATATATTCTTTTTTTAAGGAATTTTTTGTAACTTATATTCTCCTATATTATAAACATAAAATGTCTTTTTTTTTTTTTTTTTTTTATATATTTTTTATACTACAATTATACTAAATAATATGGAAAATGTATGATGTAAATGTAGCTTTGTAAATTAAAAAAAAAAAATAGATCACATAAATATTTAATGATTCACTAAATCTTATTAATAAATATATATATACTGTTTTTTTTATTTTACCTATATTTATTATTTTTTAAAAGGTGTAAAATAAATATAAAGTAAATTTTTTTTTATATTTTTAATAGGATGATTAAAATTTAACTTTTTTAATTAGTGTTGAAAAATGGGCATCTATTAAAATTTTTTTTTTATTTGGGGAAAAATATATATAAATATAAATACATGTATGAAATTAGCTTTAGTAAAAGAATAATTTATTATATCTCTTTTTTTTTTTTTAAATATATTCATATAATAAAAATATATATTAAGCTAAAATTTAAAATTATTAAAGGCTTCAAATAATAAAATAATATATAAGAAAAATATAATATAAAAGAGAAATATAAAATAATGTAGTAAGATTAATGCAATGGTGTTAATTAATTAATATAAAATGAGATTTAAAAATTATTTTAAACATTTTAAAAATTTTTTTGTATTTAATAATTTAAAAAAAAAAATTTTTTAAATTATATAAAAATATATGTATATAATAAAAATTAGAAAAATATTATGCATTTTTATTTTTTTTTTTATTATGGTATTATAATTTAATCATACCATATTTTAAGTTGTTGGACTTTATTCCTTATTTTTTAAGCATTTTTATAAAATTTTAATTCATTATTACATTTTATTTTATATTATATTATTTTTTTTATTTTATATGGAAGTTAAACAAAATATTTTCATAAATTTTTAGTATATTACAATGGGTAAGTCACACGCAATTTCAAATGAAAATATTATATATACATATATATTTATATATTTATAAATATATTTATAAATATAGATAACCTTATAGCTTTTTATATCTTATATATACTTATATAACTGTAATTTAATATCATTACTTTTTTTTTTTTTTTTTTTTTTTTAAGAAAAAGATACAATGAATAATGAAGTTGATAATTGGATGGAATGGCTAGATCAAGATGATGAAAAAAGAGAAGATATAATTTTAGATTCAACTAAAGATGATATAATTAAAAAAAATATATTACAAAACAACTTAGATGAAATTGCAGATTTTTTGGATATAAATGAAAATAAGAAAAAAAATATAGAAAATGAAAAAGTAGGAAAAACAAAAACAGCTGAAAAAATCGTGACATTAGAAAGTACACCTTTAAATTCTATAAAAGATTGTGAAACATTAGGTGAAATTTTGGCTAATAGGATAAAAAATTGTAAAGCTAAAAGTGTATCCATTGAAAGGTTCTTATCAATTATTATACAAGCATGTGAAAGTAAATTAAATGATATCGAATTACAAAGTATTGGTAAAAAAATTCAATTACTTATTGAAAATAGACAAAAAGGAAAAAGATATGCCTTAATAAATAAAAAAAAGCCAAATGAAATTAAAAATTCTATTAAAAATTACAAAGACGAAGTCGATATGATATATGGAGACATATCATATGATGAAGAAGATTATGATGATGATGATGAAGCAGATAAATATTTTGAAAAATTATAATAATAAAATTAATATGTAAAAATATATACAAATTTTCATTTTTTTTTTTTTTTTTTTTACGTAAAAAGAACCCTAAAATATATCATCTATAATTTAGTAGATTTATACGAATAATATGAAGAGCTGCATTGCATTTAAAATTTTAATTTTTTTAAATATATATATTATTAAATTCGTTCATAGAATTAGTATTTTATTATTAATATTTAAAAAGAAATAAAACAAAATTAAAAATAACATTAATAATAAAAAATTAATAAATGTTTTTGAAATAATATAATTATTTTCTTTTGTATAAATACGTGAATAATATTTAAAATATATTAAAGTTGTAATTATACTATTAAAAGTAAATATATATGACGTTTCATAATTTACTTACTATTTCGTAAGTCAAGAATTTTTTTTTTTCTTCAAGGGTGAAATTTCTCCATAAGCATAACTTAATTAAGATGTATTTAATATTTAAGTTATGTATATGTTGTTTTTTCATATTTGTATATATATCTATAGGGTTGTTGAAATTATCAAATGTGCTAGTATCAAAATGAATAATAACTTGATGTTCTTTTTCTGAGTTATCTATTTTATGTACAACTATATATATATGATTCAAATAATAATTAAAGAGAACTTCATTTTTTCGGATTTTTTTAACTTTAAATATTTTGTTGTTAAATTCATTTAGTAATGAATATATAATATCTATATTCTCATTTATATCTTTATTCAATTCTGGAGCATTTTGCTCACTATCTAGTTCTATATTTTTTAAGATCTTATTAATAACATCTATATTTTCTAATTTTTCAACAATTAATTTATTTATGTTATTTTGATTTTCTTTTTCATTTAAAGATGATTCCATATTATCTTTTTTTGCTTCATTAATATCATCTTTCAATATTTCAATTTTACTAGATTTATTATTAGTTTTAACTAATGAAACATAAATTTGAAATAATTTTACCTTATCATCTTCATTTGATAAATTAAAATTTCTAAAATTAAATAAGTATTCAAACATACATATATATGACTCATAATGTGAAATGTATAATTTTAAATAAGTAAAAAGGTATATCAATAGCAATAAATCTTTATCATCAAGTACATAAAATTTGTTTATAAAATTTTTTTCTAATAATGACAAGATACATAAAGGAAAGTTGAAATTTACTTCTTCTCTCATTGTAGAAATGCATAATAATAGTGTTACACAACTAGGTAATGGTAGAAAATCAATAACATTATATAAAAATGAATTTACTTTATCATAAAAATAATAATTATCATAACCTAATGAACAAAAAGAAAAATATATGTTAATTAATTTCTTTGCTATTTCAACTTCCTCTATTCCTTTGTTTGTATTATCTAATATTTTTATTATTTGATTGCTTATTTCATAAAATAAAGAGAAATTTCTTATATTAAAATTATATAAGGAGCTGCACAGTAGCATGTAACAATCAATTGTTAAATATTTATCTTTAATTTCTTGATTGCTTTTTTCTATATCTTCTTCATGTATTTTTTCTTTAACTTTGCTTATTTCATTTTCTTGAATATTATTTAAAACTACCTTAATATAATTATTTATAAAAGTTGAAAAACTAGAATTAACAGAACTACTTTTTATATTTTTTATATTTGATAAAAGAAATAGAAATTGGAAAAATTTCTCTCTATGATCGTTGAAAAAGCTACTTAAATAAGTTTCATCTTTTGCTACTTGCAGAATTTCATTTAGTAGAATTTGTGGCATAAATTGTGTTTTAGAAAAACATAATACAAATAAAAATAGTTCATGAAAATTAAAAACAGGAATTTTTATCTTAAAGTAAGTCATAAAGTCAAGAAATATCTCATTTTTCCATATTTTTATTTTTAAATCATCATTTTTCTCAATTATAACAAATATTTTATTTAATATGTTTAATAACTTAAAAATATCTGCTTCATTTTCTACTTTTTTAAATGTTAAGTCATGTTCATTATCTTCCTTATTTTTTATATAAGCATAGAAATTATTTTCATTCAGAAATTTATGAACAATGCTTAATGTTTCATCTAAGCTTTTTTCACAGTTAAATGTATCATAGAATTTTTTATCAACTCTTAAAATATTATTATATTTTATACATGTATGAAATTCACGTGCTACTTCATATTTTCTTATTTTTATCTTTAAATTTCTAAGAAGAATATTGCTTCTAGCAAGACCATTTATATATTTAACTGATAAAATGTTCATTTTTATTTTATCAGATTTTTTATTTTATTTGAAATATTATATTTTACCGTTTTCTTCATTATAAAAAAAAAAAAAAAAAATGTAGAATATTATTGTGAATTTTTACTTTAATTATCAAAAAGATACATTATTTTCATGTCATATAAAATGATTTAGATGGTTATAATTTTGATGAACATACATAATTTTTTTTTTTTTTTAACAAACGCTTATTTTTTTATATTATAAATAAAATATGAAAACACACATAAATATTTTTCTATTTTTTTTTTTGGTTTTTTAACTCACTTTTTTTTCATGTATCATAATATTCTTATAAAAACATTATTAATTTATGAATGTTCATAATTTTTTGTTTATTTAATATTTATCATTTTTTAAATAATAGCATTTTTATATATTTATATAATATAAATAAAAACTTAAATATATATTTTATACATGTACACAAATATATATATATATATATATATATTTATATATATACATAAATAAAGAAGCCTAAATAATGAAAAGTAGAACAAAAATATAAATAAATAAAAAATTTTACAATTTTGTTAAAATATTTGAATTATACAAAAATTTCATCTTTTTTGAATTTAGCTTTCTTATTCCTATTTTTTTTATATTTTTTAATTCATTTCTTTGATAATAATGTGTTTTAATATTAACATGTTAATTCATTAATGATATGCATTAAAAACATAAAAAACAAGAAATAAGCTTAGTGTAAGTATATAAAAAAAACTATTTATGTATGTAAAAAGATAAATAAAAGGGAATATAAATGGAAAATAAAAAAAAAAATAGAAAGACTAAAAATTTTAAATACTATGTAAAATACAAGAAAAAGTTAATATGTTCAAACAATTTTACAAAATTTAGAAAATGTGATAATAAAAAAAAAAAATTATGACGTATTATGTGTAGTATGTCTTATAAAAAAAAATTAGAAACTATGAGGCAATAGATTCTTCAATTGTATTGTTTTTATTGTGTGATTTGTTTAAAAATTTAGAAAAGAATAAATTTGAAAAAATAATTAAAATTATTGTAGAACGAATCAAATGAATTGATTTTCCATCTACACAAATATCTGAGCTGCCGTCATTTTGTACACAAAGAGGAATATTATATTCACGGTTTATAGAAAAAATGGACGAAATTAATGTTATTAATGCTAAATTTACTAAAACAAAGGAAGTATATTTTAATCCTTGAATATTTTTTATTACTTTGTATTTAAGAATAACATATAATAATAAAAAGATTGATATAAATAAAAAGATTAGTATTGCGTATAAAAGAACTTTATGACAATTCCCAGCTTTTTTTAATTTTTCTAAAAATTTACATTCCAAATTATATATAGTAGGTCCAAAAATATATTTACGTGCCATTATAAGTTTTTCATCTTTTAATAATCCAACATCACCAGGATTTCTTAATGCAGAAATTAGATTATCATCAGTTAGTTCTATTTCATTATCTTTTAAATTGCTATTTGATATTAATTTATTTTCAGAAGCTAAATTAACTAAATAATTTTCCATTTCACTTTTTTTTATTGATTTACAAAATTCATTATTTATTAATGATTCCATTGTTTGTTCTTTATCAATAGAAAGGTTTACGTCACCATTTTTTTCTGAAATTTTTTGAATTCTTCTTATAGTAGTTGCTCCAATATGAATTAATACTGATTTTTCATTATTCTTTGATTTCAACGTTATCTCATGAATTTTCCAAGAATCAGATAGTAGTGATGTTAATACAAACGAAAAACATAACATATATAAGAGGATACATAAAAACATACTATAGTTAAAACAAAAATATTTCACTTCTTTTGATATTTTTGATTTCTTTTCTATAATAAAACTCTTTTTATCTTTTAAATATGTGTTATTAGATACAAAGGATTTTATTTTTTCAAAACTGTATATTTTTTTTCCTGTTTTTCCCGCAAAATTCTTATTTTCTTTATTTAATTTATTATAATTTCCACTTTCATTAAAATTAATTTCTCTGTGTTCCTGTAAATCTAAAATTATGTGATCATCAGTTTTAATAGAGTATATATGATCATCTCGAATATATCTACTGTTTATCTCATATTCACTGTTTTCATTTTTCACGTAATGATTTTTATCTTTATGAATATCAATAAATTCTACATTTAAACTGCTTTGAGCGTTGCTATTTGATAAATTATTAGAAAGAACATTTTCTTCAGAATTTTTATTATTATATTCATTGTTTATTGTTAATATTTTTTTCTCTTCTAAAACATCACCCTCATTTAAATTATTAATATCAGATTTATCCACAGTATTATCATTCGTATAAGCATCTGATTTGTTATTTACTTCTATGTTCATTTCTTTTTCTTGAAAACATAAATTAGGGGCAGCCTTTTTTTTGAATAAAGAAAAAAATTTATTTTTATTTTTACCTTTTTTACCTTTTTCTAACTCTTTATTCTTAATTTTATGTAATTCTATATTATTTTGAGAGTATTCATTTATATCATTCTTGCTACAAATTGTTTGTTCTTCATTTTCAGGGATTTCACATTTTTCAACGGGTGAATTGCAATTATTGTCATTGTCATTAATTATATTATTATTATATATTATATTTTCGTTGTTATCATTTATTTCTTCATCTACATTAATCTTATTATTTTTTGTTTCATCATTCTCATTATATGGTACATTTTGTTCAATGTTATCAACTCCATTTAAATTGCTATAAGAATTTTCATTTTCTCTTTTTTTTCTTTCTTCGATTTCATTAAATGCATATAAATCCATTTCATTATGATTATTTAAATTGTTCATTTTTTCATTTTCTTTATTATTTTCAGAAGATATATTTTGGTTTTCAGGTAAGTATAGTTTCTTCTCGGAGCCTTCGGAAATGTTAATTTTTTCTTCCTCTTTCGTCATAGTTTCTATATCATTCTTTTCATTATCTAATATTTTATCATTATCATTTAACTCATTTCCCATATATTTAAATTTAGAGTCATCTTTCTCATCTACCTTTTTATAATTTTCAGATAAATTAATATTTAAGTTATTCATACTTTCTTTTTCTATATTTTTATGAGATTCTTCATTTACATTCATATTTTCACAATTGTCTAAGTTTGATTTATTTTCTGAATTATCATCAAAAGCACTTCCATGATAATTAAAATAAATATTGTACCTATCCTTTAAATCTAATTTCGTTTTTTTTGGTATTTCTACATCTAAATAATTTATCGGTATTTCCATATTTAGTGAAGTTATTTCTGCATCTATACTCATTTTATTATGAGGTCAAATAAAATTATAAGAAATAATAGCTTTATTTAATAATTATTTGTAATCTCAAAATAAATTAAAAGCATATATACATATATTATTTACATATGTATTTATAAATTTTTTTTTTTTTATTGCTCATAAAAGATTTATAAATTACAAATTTTCATTATATCTTTAGATATATTATATTTCTATATTATCTAAACATTTAGAAAATTTAATTTTGAACTTCAATAAAAAGTAAAATTGGATAATATATAAATGATATTTGAGTAATTTATGTAAAATGATGATTTCCAAACCTATAAAATGGGAAAAAATTACTAATATATATACTTGTATTTGATAAAATAAACATAAAAAAGAAGGTATAAAAAATAAATTAATAAATTTATAACATTAATACAAAATGAAATAATTATATAAAAGAAAAAATCTATTTTGAGCCTGAAATTATGGAAATAAGGGATATATACACACCGATATAGTTTTATCAAAAATAAAATAACATAAAACAAATTTGTAATTATTTATAAACTCATAAAAAAAGTTTCAATTTATCTAATATGGCACATTTATTTACAATATGTGATTTTATAAAAATGATAATACTAATTACAAAAGAACTATAATGCATGAAACATTTGCTAATTATGTGTTTAAAAAAATATTATAAATAATTTAGGATAGTATGAACTACCATTTATTATATATTTTTTTTTTTTATTTTTTGTTCTTGTTTTGTCATTATATTCGAATTTTATGTTTTATTTGTTGTTTATCACTTAATGTTCTATGTATTTTACAATTTTCTTTTTTAAAACATAAATAATTACGTATTTTTAATTTTTGTAATTTTAGATTATTTGTGTATAAAGAATATAAATCATAATATATTTTATTTGCGTGCAAAATGACAGAATTACATATATTTCCAAAATGTATTATAAATAAAAATATATTACACTAATTGGTAAGTAGTATTAAATGAAACATTAATATTACTGTCTTTTTGCTATTTTATTTTATTTTATATTTTTTTTTTTTTTTTTTTGTGGATTTAAAAAAGAATTAATCTATTCTTTAAAATTATTTCATCACTTTTTGTCATTTTTACATCATAAAACAGTTTTTATACAACCGATTAAATGTGTGTAACATATTTTTGGAAACGTTACATATATATTAAATTGCATATGAAAATTAAAATATATATAGTATATTAAATTAGCCGCAAATTAAATTATATGTATATTATTATTACACTCTATTTTTTATTAGCACCTTTCAGCAAAATGAAAAAAAGAAAAAAACTATTACTTACATATGAAATTGTATGAACACTTCTAAATGAATTTTTTTTTTTTACTTTTTAAAAAAATGTGGTATTATTATAAAAATTGACAAATAAGATCACTTTTTTTAATAAACAAATTATAATTATGTATCTTTTTAATTAATCTTAATTGAATTATTGTTAATAAGTGCATGTGTAATTTATAGGAAGTGCAAATTTTTATATCTTTTTAAATTTAACGTATTCGTAATAATTTGCATTTGTTATGTAATTGTATTGTCAATTCAAAGATAATTCGTATGATATATTTTAATTTTTTTTCTTCCTTTTTGTTATTCTAACAACTTTATTTTTTATGAAAATAATATACAAAAAAAAAAAAAAGTTCAAAAAGTAAAATTTAATTTAAAATGAACGTTAGGAATCAATATTCTTTAATAAGATATTTAATACTATATTTAACTATAAAATCCAATTTAAAAATTATGTTAAAAAAAAAAATTTACTTTTTTTTGAATAATATTAATTTTTATTATCCATATCAATTATATTACTTATAAAAGGTAAAACATTATTTGTTTAATAATATTAATTTATTCTATTTGTGTTAACTACATTTCCAAAAAAAAAGTAGAAATTCCTTTTTTATTAATATTAATATCCCCTATTTTTATAAATTAATCTCCTTAAAAGAAGTAAAAATTCTATTGATTAAAAATTGTAAACTGTTTAAATAAATTCACTAAATGGGAAAGAGTAGCATTAGTTGTATTAATCATTATACTTTATTCACAAGTGTAATAAAAATTACTTCTACCAAAAATGCGTGTGTAAATATATATTCTTTTATGATAAAAAATACTTTATATTATAGAATGTATTCTTTGTATTAAATATAAAGATAAAATCAATTTTTTAGAGTCGTCATTTTGTGTTACATTTATAAATATAAAAGAATCTCTTTAATGTACAATAATAACATAAGTGTTATTATGAATTGTAAAGTTCTTTAAATGTATTTAATACATACACAAGTATATATGATACATAAAAAAACTATAATTTTTTTAATATCATATTTTTTAAACGTTAATGTTATAACTAAATACACACTCAAAAAAAAAAGAAAGTTTACATAATTTAATAATAGCTTCTAGTGAAGCCTAAAAAAAAAAGATAAAATATTTATATATATGTATTTATTTAAAGTTAAAACATGAAATAACTTAAAAAAACTTTACTTATATTTTCATCTTTTTTACTTCTTTATTTTTTTTTTTAAAGGGTAAAAAAAATTAACAGTTAACTATAAAGAGAAGAATAATTAATAGTAAAATAAAAAATAAGAAATGTAATCCACGCTCTAAAAATATTCAAATTTATTTTAAAATTTTTTTTTTTTTTATGAATTAACTACTTCTTCTTTATATGCATATTTCATTGAATATATTTGCACATTTGCACAGACAAATTGTACAAATTTATACATATACATATAGAGATTAAAATTATTTATTCTTTGATAGTTAATTATTATACAAATAAAACTATTAGGAAATTATGATTTTTATTTTTATTCTCCCTTAAATTTAGAAAGCTTTATATATCATCCTACTACTTCACTTATCTCACTTAAATATATAATTCAATAAAAAACATAATAAAATAACATAAAAGAAACATGTTTATATTTATATGTTTGCATTTATACGTTTGTGTTTCTAATTGTTTTATTTTTTTATTTTTTTTTTTTTTTTTTTTATTTTTTATTTATTTATTTTATTTTTTTTTTTTTTTTTTGATACAATTTTTCTCATTAACCAATAATTCTACTTAGTTTATGATCTTTCTCCACGAATACGTCTGGCTAATTGAATATCTTTTGGCATAATTGTAACTCTTTTTGCATGGATTGCACACAAATTTGTATCTTCAAAAAGTCCAACTAAATAAGCTTCAGCTGCTTCTTGTAATGCCAATACTGCTTGAGATTGAAATCTCAAATCTGTTTTATACTCTTGTGCAATTTCTCTTACTAATCTTTGAAAAGGCAATTTTCTTATTAACAAATCAGTAGATTTTTGAAATTTTCTTATTTCTCTCAAAGCAACAGTTCCAGGACGATATCTATGAGGCTTTTTAATACCTGTTGAAACTGGAGCTGATTTTCTTGCAGCCTTTGATGCGAGTTGTTTTCTTGGTGCCTTTCCTCCTGTGGATTTTCTTGCTGTTTGCTTAGTTCTGGCCATTTTAGTTTTTTTTCAAAAAAAAAAAAAAATTTTAATGTTTTGCGCGGGTTAAAAAAAATATAAAAATGTATATTTTTTGAAAAGTTATGTTAAATATAATATGATTTTTTTTTTTTTCAAATTAAAATTTTTTTATATTTTTGTTGAACTAAATAAAAAAAAAATTTATAAAAAAAAAAAAAAATTTTATTTTACATAATAGGATATTTTTTTATATGCGTATATGCAAATTTATATTTACATATATAAATATATATATCCAATATATATTAATATATAATAAATATATATATTATATTATTAAATATATATATTTTTTTTTTTTTTTTTTATGAGTGCATGTATTTATTTTTTTCAATTTTTTTTTTTTTATTTTTTTATTAAAACGTACAATAGGTTAGCAATAGTATTTTATGGATAAAAGCATGTAAAATTTTTTACATATAAAAGTGCTCTTATTTTATATAAAATTAAATATTTTTTTTTTTTTTTTACATTTTGTTTTTACTTTTCTGTGTATAATTATAGAATAAAACCAATCAATGTGCGAGAATTTATTTTTTTTTTCTATATATATTAATGGGAAGTTAATATTAAAATAATATTAATAATCTTATTGCAATAGAGAATAAAACAAGTATTATGACATTAATAATATTTATAATATCTATTTTATTGCATTTTTGTTTCAATTCCTTATTTTGAAAAAAAATACCAACTTAGCTGAGTTGTTTTGCTTTTTTAGTAATATGAATTAATCATTATAGATAACTAAAATTAATGGAAGTTTTCTATTATCAATAAAAATATATATTTTTTAAAATTTTTTTAATATGTAATTTTTAGTTTATCCTCTTAATAAGTTTAATTTATATTAGTTAAGAATGAATTTTATACATACTCTATTTTTACGATGATTACAATCACAACAATACAAATATTGTTTTATAATGCCATTATCAAAAATATACAAATAGTTAGTATGATCAATAAAAAAAAAAAAAAAAAAAAAAAAGTTAGTAAAATTAAAGCTATAATTTTTTTTTCTTTAAGATATATGTCATTATGCATAAATTTATAAAAAAAATAGTACATATATTCATATATATATTTCAATTATTACAGTTTTATACTTAATAAAAAGTTGATCAAATATTCAATTTTAAAATAATGCTTTATTTTAAACATTTTTATTTTCTATTGAACATTTTATGTAGTATTCTTTAATAGATATTGAACACACGTATATTATTTTTTGATTAATTTAAAATTCGTACATAATTAATCATAAATTGGCAATGAAAAGTTTATAATATGTAATATACAAAAGTTAAAAAGAAAGCTATATTTTAAAAGAGATCTTATCTATTATTAATAAAATATAATTTAAATTTATTGTGATCTTAATCCGTTTAATTATTTTATTCGAATTTCATGATAATATTTATATATGTCGAACAGTATATTATTAAAAAATAATAAGCAAAATTTCATTATTCTAGATGACTCTTTTATATTTGCACTTCTATATATTTAAAAAAAGACAAATGTAACAGAAAAATATATGTGAAATTATTTTATTTGTTGCCTACATAAAATATATCAAAATGAACAATGTCACAACATATTCCACTCAATATAAAAGTTAAAATGGGGATAAAAATATATTTTAAATTTGTTTCTGTACTTTTAACATAATTTTTCTACCTATTAATTAAAAATACTTGATTTTTTTTTTTTTTTTTTTTTTTTTTAATAAACTTTTTCTTTTTAAGTATAATACAACATAAAATAATAAACTACATGACATATTTTAGTTTCTTCATGTACTAGTAACTATTAGAACATGAAAAGAAATAAAATTGATACAATTTAGCTAATATTATTAATAATACATTATATTTATTATAATTTTCATAAAGTTTAGAGGTTATTTTTTTATATTTTTTTTAAGAGAATGATTCTTTAAAATTAACTTATACATAAAATAATATAAAAATAAAAAATTATATATATTTATTGTATAATTTTTTTACTCTAAAATATTAACAATACTAAGCATTTATTTACCCTTCTTTTTTTCTTTCTTTATTTAAAAATTTACCTTTCAGCTATTCTTCTATTGCACATATGTTACTTCCTTCAAACGTGATGTTTTTTTTTTTTAGAATAAAAATAAAACAAAAAAATTCACTGAAACATTTATCTTATAAAATGCGTAAAATTCAATGTTATTAAAACAAATGGAATAAAAGTGTTAAAAAATAACTAATTAAAATTAAGTCTCTTTTTATTATATGCTAAATTAATTAATTTATATACAAAAAAAAATTTTTTTCAAGTTAGCTAATTAAATTTTGTCATGTATCTTTTTAAAAGTGAACGAGTAATATCACATTTTTGCTCAAATTCTTAGGTTTATTAAAAGTTAAATATTTCAATATATTTGAAACAAAACTGCTACATTTATTTTTTTACATAAGTAACATATGAACAATTTTATTATCATGATTAAATAAAACTATAAAGGAATGTTGAATTAGTGAATACGTAATTACTAGGTTTACATACAAATTGAAAAGTAAATTATTCATAAAAATGAGGTTTAAATTGTTTATAATAATTGATGCTTATACATAAATGTTTAAAATTAAAAAAAAATGAGTTAAAATAGAAGATTTTAAACGTTTAAACAGAGTGATACTTTTCCACTTATTAAACTTATTCAGTAGGTAAATATATTATATAATTAAAAAAAAGGAAAAAATTAAAAACAATAAAATGTTTAAAAAAAAGTTACATATTACAAATGATAAAAATAATGATGTACAAAGATAAGGACGAATTCATATAAAAAAAATATAATACATTAAATAGAAAAAATTAAGTTAATAACAATATTTGATAAAACCATGAAAAAGTAAAATAACGAAGAAATAATAAAAAAAAAAAAGAAATTAAAAAAATAATTTATATTAACTATTATGCTATTAAATAAATTTACAAATTTTATTTGTATGTATATATATATAAATATATATATATATAAATATATATATATATATATATAAATATATATATATATATATATATATATATATATATATCTATAAATATAAAAATATTTTTAGTATTTCAATTAATTTTATATAAAAATTTTTCGTGCATATTTTGATAAGAGCGATATTACATTTAAGATATATAAATAAATACGTATCAATTTTTAAATATTTTTATTTAACTCTTTTTTTTAATGAGTAAATTGTATATAAATTTTGCACTAAAAATGTACTATATATGAATATATGTATAAAATATATATAAATATATAATTATATATATAATTACAAATAATTATGTAAACGTTAATATTTTTTTTTATTAAATTATGTAGTATTTTTAAAAAAATTATGCACACATCTTTTTATATATATATGCATTACATCAATTTTGAGTCAATTAATGGAATATATAAAAGAAAAATACACAGTAATCAACCATTTTTACGTTTAATAAAATTGCATGATTTTTATAAAAATATGTATTTTTATATATAAATTTATTTTAAATTTAAAAAAATATACTAATTCGCAATATTTTTTTTTTTTTTTTTTTTTCTTGCTCACATGAATGTAATTTTGTTGCACATATTTTTTTTTTTTTTATGAAGACAAAATCATTTCATGCAGCATTTAAATTGATTAAAAAAATTTTTTTTTTTTTTTTTTTTATTATTATTATTTTTTCGATTTTTTTTTTTTTTTTTTTTTAAAATATTTTAAACATTATAAAAAATTGTAATAAATTTTATTTATATTTTATAAAAACATTAAAGAATTCATTTTATTTCATTTTGAAAAAGCAATTTTTTATTTTATTAAATTAAAAATTAATATTTAAAAATGTCAGCAAAAGGAAAAACTGGTCGAAAAAAAGCTGTAAAAGGAACTTCAAATTCTGCTAAAGCAGGACTTCAATTCCCAGTTGGAAGAATTGGAAGATATCTTAAAAAGGGCAAATATGCAAAAAGAGTAGGAGCAGGAGCACCTGTTTATTTAGCAGCAGTTTTAGAATACTTATGCGCAGAAATTTTAGAATTAGCAGGCAATGCTGCAAGGGATAATAAAAAGTCAAGAATAACACCAAGGCATATACAATTGGCTGTGAGAAATGACGAGGAATTGAACAAATTTTTAGCAGGTGTTACATTTGCTTCTGGAGGTGTTTTGCCAAATATTCATAATGTTTTATTACCAAAAAAAACACAAGTTAAAACTGGTGGTACAGCCAATCAAGAATATTAAGTTTTATAATATTTTATTGCATATTGCTGATATCTATACGTATATTTACATACATATATATTATAAAAAAAAAAATATAAAAATATAAAAAAGATGATAAAAAAAAATGAAATTAACTACATATTAAAAAAAAATGTATATTCATTTTTACTTATGTGAAAGGTATAAGAAAAAAAAAAAAATGAAGGATTTAAATAAAAAAAATCATTTTTTTTTGTTTATTTTTTTTATTAAATTTTTTCCCTATTCGCTTTATTAATGTTTTATTATTTTGTATTTTCTATTCTTCTTTTTTTTTCTTCTCAAAATGAGAAGAAAATGAGATTTATAAGAATAGAAAATATGAAATAATTTATAAAATACATATTTTTTATTTTTAACTGTAAACTAAATACATAAGGTTTCACTAGAAGCCATTAAAAATAAATTAACTCTTTTTTAGTTTTCTTCAATTTTTTTTCTTAAAAATAGCAATTTTATTAAATAAGTAGATATTTTTTTAATGTGATTAGCTTATTTGCTTAAAAATATGTAAAACTTATGAAATTCAATTTCGTTTTTGAATATGCAAATTTGGAACAATGAATTTATCTTTAGAGTTCTCAAGTTCTCTATTTCATTAAAACTGTTATCATTTAATCTATTTTGAATACATGAAATATTGAAGTGTTAATGGTAGTATCTTTAGCAATAGGCATAAAATTTATAAAGAATAAAATAATATAATCTAAATATATAAAATGAAACTGTTTATATATTTTTTCTTACCACATATGAAAGATTTTGTTTTATTTGCTTTTGAATTGAAAGAAAAACAAATATTTATATACATATTTTATTTATTATTCATAACAAAACATTGGTAAAATGTTTAGTAATCAGACAGATTTTTTTGAAAAAAAATATTTCTTATTATTTTTCATTACTTTTTTATGAAAAAAGAAAAATTAACAAAATTTGTTATTTTTTTAAAACATAAAATCTTATAAAGTTTTAACTTTTATAATAAACCATTTAAACATTTTATAAATAATCTTTATATGTGAACCATGAATCATATAAAGCATCAAATGAAAAAATTTGTATTATATATTTTTCACATAAAAGTAACTTTAGAATTCATTATATTGTTTAAATATATAAGATTTTCTTTTATCACTTATTAACGAAAAAAAAAACATAGCAAGGATTATTGAACATTTTATAATTACATAATATATCCATCATGTGTTACAAACAAAAAATATAAATTTAAAAAGAAAATAGAATATCATACATTTTAATTATAAAATTCTCTTGAAATAAATTTATACTTACTTAAGAGGAAAAATAATTCACATTTTCATAAAAAACGAACACAATATTATCAACTTTTATTATTTACCACATAAATTATCGTTAATGTTGTAAAATTTACCAAGTTTTTCTTTTTTTTTAAAAATTAATTCATTTTTTTATGCTTAGATTACATATTATGAAAAAACAATCATTAAATAAAAAAATTATTTAAAATACAAATACTATACATTAGTATTATAAAATATAAAAGTTATATCTTTCTGATTAATATTATTAGAGCATAACTACTTAATGAATAAATTAAAAAAATATATTTTATATCATTTGTTACAAGTATGCTCATATTTATAAAGTTAATAAAATGAAAAGTTATATATAAAGAACCATATATATTTTGAAGATATAACTTTTCTTTTTTAGTGTATATTAAAAGTACATTTGTGACTTTTCCATATGTAATAATTAAATTACTTTTAATTTTTTTATTTTTCATTTTTTTAAAAATTCTACTTAATATTAAATTTAAAATAAGTAATATATTTGTTGATTTAATATATTATATTTATAAGTAACTATTTTATTCACTTTTTTCTTATTTGTCTAATTTCATTTTAACTGCATAAATATATGAAAGCATACGAATATCTTCTTCTTTTTAACAATAAATTACGTTAAAATAAAAGGATGAATGCAAATAAATATTGAAATTATTAAATACATACAATTATATTAATGTTAACTCTATTTCATTTTAACTTACACAAAAAAGTATTAGCTAAAAACAACAAAAATATGCCTCCATATACATTTTTTTATCTTGTAATTGTTATATTTTTTTTATTCAAAATATATTTTACTTATAAAATAAAAATTTCCTTATGTAAAAAGGGAACTAAATTATAATTTATTGTATATTAGAAAAAAACTAAATTCAAAATTTCCATATTGTAAAAGATAAAAATAAAAATTATGGAAAAATTTTAATATATTTATATAATCTTAAAATAGAAGATTCATAAAATTACATAACTGTAATAGTTTAATAGGAAACTTTATTTAATAAGGTTTTCTAAATGAATTTAAAAATTTTTTTAAACTAATATTTCTAATTAATTCTCTAAACGGAGCATTTAAGTTAAAACATTATTATTTATACTACAGAAAACTAGAAAAAAAATAAAATAAATTACACAAAAGATGAATGAAAAAAAAATAACATAACAGAAATAAAGACGAAATTAAAGAATAAAGGTTAGAAAAAATTAAAAATATGATGTTAATTCCATTATATATGGAATACCTAAATATAAAAATATATTTAATTCGTATTTAAAAATAAGAAAATTTAAATTATACAAAAACAAAAAGGATATTATAAAAAAAAATTACAAATTTTTTTTATAGAAAAATAAAAATTTTATGAACAATTAGGAAGTGTTTACATAAATATATATTTTAAATTAAAGGTTACATTAATGAAAAAATATTTTTTTCTATTTTATAAAATATTTTTTAAAAGAATATTATATTCATTTTTTCTTTATTATGAAAAAAAATTTATATTTGTTGAAATCATGTCATTAATATTTTTCCAAATAGTTTCTCTTTTTTCAACTGCTCTTGTAAAAAGTTTTACCTTATTTTCATATAATAATGGAATTTCTAAAGCTATCTAGAGAAAAAAAAGGAAAATATGGAGATATATAAATAATATTTATGATTACAAAATAATGCTTTACAAAAAAAATTCAATAGTAATTTTTCATTGAATCACGAAAAATAAATAATTTAATAAAAATGTGTTAAAATAAATAACAATTTGACCTTACAATAAATTATTAACACATTTAATAATTAAAAAAAAGTAGAAATAAAGTCATAATTTAAGCAATTTTTGTATATTATGAAAAAATATTAAAAAAAGTAATTTGTATAAAATTTAATGAATAATATATATATATATATATATATATATATATATATATATGTATGAGAAGAGATAAAACATATAATGTTTTTAAGATAAATATATATAAGATAAAATATTAAATAACATAAAAATAGTAATTAAATCATTGATTTCTTTATTTAAAAAATTTATAATTTTTTATACTTTTGCATAGTAAGGGTTACAAAAAACTACAAGATAATTATTTTCTTGCATAAAAGAAGAAATTTTTTCAACTTTTATCACTGGTCCTATCCATTGCATAAAATTTTTACATTCATTTATTGTCATATTTTGTGGAAAATTACAAACAACTATTGTCGAATCTTCATCAAAGTCTTTTGGCTTTAAAGAAAAGATTAGCAAAATTAACGTTATATTAAAATTTAAAAAAAAATAAATAAAATGATTTGAGTTATCAATTTATTTATATGTATATTTGATTAATTTTATTTTTGACATACTGCATAAACATTTCCTAATTTTCTTTCTGTTAAATTTGATGGATTTTTCGACTGAGTTACTTTTCTTTTCTGTAGTTCAACTGTTCTTAATTTTCTATAAGATTGATCCATTTTAACTTTAATATAATAAAAAAAAAATATATATATATATATATATCAATAATTATGCTAATGTGAAGGATTTACTGGTTCATTTTTTTTTTTTTTTTTTTTTTTTTTTTTTTTTTTTTTTTTTTTTTGGTATTTTTTCTTTATATTTTGTTCCTTTAAGAGAAATTTTTCAAAAATTTCCATACCAATATGAAATATAAAAAAAATTTAATATAATTGATAATTTTTTATCAATATATATATAATATTTTTTATCAGCACACACACACAAAAAATTTTTTTTTTTTCATTCACATAAAAGGTTTCTAAACAAATATTTTGTGTTTTTAGTAATATTTAAGATAAAACGTCTTTTATAAACATCATTTCTGTTTAACTTCTTTTTCAATTAAATTTTAAAAAAATGTTCAATGATGACACCTTTTTTATATTAAAAAAAAAAAAAAAAAAAAAAATTCCTTTAAAGTGAAATTTAAAATTTTATTATAATAAAATTCATAATTTTAGCTCACGTTAGCAGTTATTTATTATAAATAATAATTCCCATTTTTAAAAATGAAACATTGATGATTTTAGGAAAAAAAAAAAAAAAACATGAAAAATTATCTACATGTGCCTGCTTATATATTTCTACTTTTTTTCTTTTTTCTTTGCTTTGCTTATAATAAAAAAACATAACTGTTTTAAATTATAATATAAAATATATATTATCATTGTGCATTAAATATTAAACTATTTATTAATGAAGTATTATTTTAATTAATTGTTAATTTTTAATACATGAAGAAATAAAATACACTTATATAAAAGCCTTCATATAAAAAAAATTGTCTTTTCATGTTGTATATAATTGATATAATTTTATAAAAATGTGATTAAGATACATTTATCATTTTAAAAAATAAGAAAATTTGTCAAAATACATTATTTTTTAAAAAAATATATACTATTTAAAATTATTTTACTTAATTTTATTATAAATATTTTTAAAGTTACATCCTAATAAAAAAATGCTATATTTTAATTATGAGTACATATGAATTTTTTGTATAAATACCTATATATAAATGTATATATATAAAAATATAAAAATATACATATATATATATATATATATATAAAAGAAAAAAGAAATACATTTTTTAAAATGAAAAAGAAGAAAATAATAAAAGAATAATTTATAAAATAAAATATTTTTATAAACATAATATTTGTTATTTAAATAACTTGGAATATGTTAAAATATAAATAGAATGTGTTAAATAAAATTATAAATAACTTTTATTTTTAATGCTTTATAATAATTATTATTAAACACTTAATGAACAAAACATTTTTTTCAAAAAAAAAAAAAAAAAAAAAGAAAATTTTATATTAAAAAACAAAAAAAATTTATATATAATTATAAATTACTCTCATAAATAATTTATTTTCAAAATAATACTCAAGCCTTAATTTTACTTGTCTTGCTACCTTTGGGTTGCTCTTGTGGCTTATATAAAGATAATTTTTCATCAATTTCTACAATGGAAAAAAAAAAAAATATATATAAAATAAAATAAAAATACTACATTTATTTGAATAACATTTAACATATACATATTGATATATGAAGCACTATCTTAAAATATACGAAAAATATTTGTAAAAATATTTCTCAAAAAATATATGTTTATGTAGATAATAACACTAACCTTTTATTTTATTTGATAAATCCGCTCTTCTAGATTCAACATTTTTTACACTTTCATCTCTTTTTTTTTCATACATTTCTTTTTTTTCATTTAATTTTTCAATGCATGAATCAACTTCTTCAAAACTGACAGGTGGATTTATACCAGCAGTTACAAAATAACAAAGAATGTTCATATCTAATTTAAATAATTTTTGTTTTTCCTTTTTGTTTTTTGTTTTTTTGTTTTCATTTTTTCCTTTAGAGTTTGCATTGCTCTCTTCTTTATTATCTACTGATTCAATTTCCCCATTGACTTTTTTAATAGAGTTATTCTGTTTTTTTGATTCTTCAATTTTCACTTCTTCTTGAATTTTTTTTAAGTATACTAGCATATTTTCAATTAATGCTAATTCTTCTCTATATGGTAATAAATCAATATCTTCCATTTCCTTCTCTAATGATTGTTTTTCTAATTCTAAATTTTTTCTTTCTCTTTCTTCTTTAAGTTTTTGTTGTTTGGCTTGTAATAAATTTAATTTATAATTTCTATATTGTTGTCTTTTTTTCTCCATTTCTACAGTAATATTCCTCCTTTCCATAAAATAATTATTCATTTTTTTTGAGTAATTATCTCGTAAACTATTAAGTTCATTTAATTTATTATTTTTTTCTTGAAAACTATTTTGTAATTCTTTTAATTTATTACGTTCCAATTTTTTTTCATTTCTTAATTTATTTATCTGTTCCCTAATGGAATCCATCCTACTCTTTAATGGTACTAAAAAAGGAAAAAAAAAAAAAAAAAAAAAAAATTACAAAAAGAATATAATAAAATAATATTAAATATAATGAATTAAAATACATTAAAAAAAAAAAAAAAAATAAATAAATAATTTTCATTTTTAGTTTCATACAAATAGCTTCATCGTCATATTTGTTAGCTTCATTCTCTATTTTACTATATGATGACAAAAGGGGCTTGTTTTTATTTAATGCTTGGATTTGATTAATTAATAATTTTTCTTCTTTAATTGAAATAGTTGAAGTCATCAATTTATTTTCTATTTCTTTTATTTTTTTCTCTATATCTTCTTCATTTTCAAATCCTATTTGTTTTTTTATATTTTGTGCATTAAATTTTAACTCCTTTTTATGTTTTTGCTTTTTCTCAATATCATCTAAAATGCTTCTGCGTTCATTCTCTAATTTGTCTATCTCATTTTGAAAAGAGTCTATTTTAGTTACAATATCTTTTTTTTTTTTATTATATTCTTCTTTTGCCTTACTAGCTACTTTAATTTCCTTTTGCAAATTATCCTACAGAAAAAAAAAGGAATAAAAGTAATATATATGGATATAAGTAATTTATATAAATCACTATTTACATTTTTTTTTTTTTTTGGGATACATTTGAAGCATATTTATAAAATAATTATTTTTTTTTAAATAAAAATTACATTTATAATTAACATATATTTTATTATTTTATTTTTTTTTTTTATTTTCTTGTTTCTTTATATCTTACAATTTTTTTTTTAATTTCATCGATTGATTCAGATATACTCGCTAATTTTTCGTTATAGGCATCAAAATCTGGCTTCTCTACTTCTTTTATTTTTTCAGCTTCAGTCATTTTCTATTAAAAATAAGGATTCAAAAATAATAAGAAAAACTTTCTTTATCTAAAATGTCAATATTTCACTGAAATATTTCCAAATGTCTGAAATGCATGGATAATTTTAATAAAAAATTATGAGCATATAATAAATGCAAAATTTAAAGAGATGTTAATCTTGTTCATGAAAAAATTCATCTATAAAAAAAAATATAAATATATATATGTATATTATAATTTCAAATAGTAATGATAATTATTTCATTTATGATAAATATTTTTAGTAATTTAAATAAATACCAAACATATATATATACATAAATATCAATAAATATATATATATATATATATGTGTATTTCTATTGTTATATAGAAAATAATATTATATTAATTTCATAAATATGCTTATAGTTATTCTTTTTGAAGGTCAAAAAAAGTGTTAAGGAATTTATAATAAACAAATGAATGTAAAATTGCATTAAGAAAAAGGAAATATAAAATAGAACATAAAAAAATCTTTTGTAAACAAAAAAATTTTAATTTTTTCTTCATATATAAAGTAAAAAAAAAAAATTATTAAATATGCATATAAATAATAAATTAATATTAAAAAAAAAAATATATATTACATAAACATGTTTTTGTCATTTCACAAAATACTTCAGAAATAACCTCACTATTTTATACTGCAATATTTATGTTCCTTTAAAAAAAAAAAAAAAAAAAAAAAAATATGTTTAACAAAAAAAGAAAATTCTACATTCAAAATATAGATCTTATATAAACCATAAAAAACACTTTTATAATTATCAATATAAAAAGAATTTTCTATTTATTTTTGTATTTTACTATATAAATAAGTGCTCAATAAAACAAAGTTCATAGAAAATAGATATGTATGTATTTTGTATTCATATTTTTATTTATATTTTTTAAAGAAAAAACTTTATTTTTAAAAAATTCAAAAATTTAATATATTAAAAATAATATGTATAAATAAAAATGGAGTAAGTAAAAAAATATAAAGTAAAAATAAAATGTAATAAACATAAAAGTAAAAAAGAATATATAATAATTTAAAATATGATTAAATAAAATGATATAACATGAAATAATATAAAATAAAAAAAAAAAAAATTAAATTATTAGTAACTCTTCTGAACTGAAAAAAAAAAAAAAAAAAAAAAAAAAAAAACATAAATTGTAACATGTAATTCACACAAAATTTCTAATCGTGCATATATATATATTTATAAATATATATATATATATATTTTTTTTTTTAAACTCCTGCGTCCTGTATGTCCTACTTTTCTTTATTTTGTTTGATAAAATTTGTTACTTTAAAAATATGTATTATAATATTTTTTTGAAAAAATTTCCTTTTTCTTTATTTTATAAAAAAAATTCTTATTTATAAATTTGTATAAACAGTATAAAATTATTTTTTGTGCATTTATGTTTATTTTGAATTGCACTTTTATTCTTTTTTTTTTTTTTTTTTTTTTTTTTTTTTTTTTTTTTTAAATATAGAGAGGAAAATTAAATTGTAATTTTAAATAGTATCTTTATTTTTATGTAAATTTATAAAATTATTTAATTAAAACTGGTAAGTAAATGAATTTATTCTATATGAGTTTTATTAGGTTAAATATTCTTTAACTTATTTTATTATACAAGAATACTTAAGAATTAAAGTAATTTGAGACTTTAAAAAATAATATTGTTGTACTTAATTTGAAAATACTCTATTGAATCACAATTCACTTCAATATAATTTTTTTTTTTTTTTTTTTCATTTAAATAAAGTATTAAAAAATTACATAAGTAAAATATGATTTGTTAAAATTTTATAAATTATTATTTTATTAATTTTCACTAAAATATACAAAAGAATAAAAAAAAAAAAAAGGATTCATTATGTGAGTGGTGAAAAAAAATTTAGTTACGACTCATAAAATATAGTATAAATAACATTATTTATGTATTATTATTTTTTGGTTTTAAGTAAAAAAAAAAAAAAAAAGTATTTATATTTAAAGTTGATAATAATAATGTTATAGGGAGAGAAATGTATTTATTTTTACTTTTATAAAAATAGCTAACATTTAAAAGTTAAATTAAAAAATAATTTAAAAATAAAAAAAATGACAAAAAAAAAAAAGATATTAAGTGAAAATAAACAACAATAGTAAAACAAAAATTTTAATTATCAATTTTAAACAAATTTTAAAAACTTAAAGTAGAATATCTCATAAATGAAAATTTTTTATTTATGTTTTATAAGATATATTTCAAATATCTTGTTAAGGTAATTATTTAAATGCTTTATATTCGTTACAACTGATATTTGACACCTGAATACATTTAATATATGTTTATAAATTTAGTAGAAATATTAAAATAAAAAAATATATATAAATATATTTCATAAAATTACCCTTTTATTTCATATCGAATCTTTACTAAAATTAAAATTTTGTTTCCATTCTCAAGATTCTATTAGATAAAAAATATTAACAAAAATATTTTTTTAATATAAATTTTTAAATATATAAAACAATATAAAAATAAAATCATTATTTTTTTTTTTTTTTTTTTTTTTTCTTGTTTTTATTATTATAAAATTACAGGAAAATGTATATATCCTGATGCACATATAAGCATTCCAATCTATAAAAAAAATATTAGATATAAAGTTTTTCTCTGAAAATTTTTTTATATATATACACATCTATTTCCTTTTTCATTACCTTTAAAATATAGAAATTAAAAGCATTAATTAAATAATTTAAAAAATATTTTTTTGAGAATTTTGGTACACCCATTATAATATCTTCGTTATGAACTTGTGTAAGCGCTTTCCAATAATTTTTAAAAGTAGCTTCATTCATTTTATTTTCTTTAATAAATCTCGTAATTAAAATAGGAAGCTTACAAGTATAACTTACGGTCTATATAAAAAAAAAAAAAAAAAAAAAAAAAAAAATAATAATTTTATTACAAATTAGTTCTTTTTGCATAATTAATTATATGAAACATCTTTTTATCTATTATTTCTACTGGAATGGTTAATATCAATATAAATTTTATCATTGTTACATTTATTCTCTTTAATATATATATATATGTATCATTTCTTACAGGTGAATTTGGTATAATAATATTAAAATAAATATTGGGAATATTGTAAAAAACATCAGATACCGTAATAATAATTTTATGAATATATATATCATTGCTATCTATTTGTTCATTATTTATATTTTTTTGCTCTTTTATATTTATTTGGTCACATTCTTCTATATTAATACTACAAGAAAAAAAAAAATATATATATATATAAATATATTCATATATACCTTTTAAAATAAAAATCCTACATGAATCAAAATTTTTTAATTTAATTATATCAATATTGATTAGTGATATACCTACTCAAGTTGATAACTTCTTTAGAAATGTTTTTTATATAAAAAATAATTATTCCCTTATTTTCTTGATATTTTTGTTTCACTAAAATAGATATGGTATTATTTTTAAAAAGTAACGCCTTTTCTAATAAGCACGCATTAAACCATAGATCATTAATATTGTTTGCTTTTTGTAAACATAAAATCTTAAATAATTTTTCATTATCATCTACATTTTTATTAGTATTTTCTGATTTATCACTAGATGCACTAGATAAACTTGATGCACTTGATGTTTTTTTAGAATTTCCTGAAGATGTATTAGAAGAATTCCGTGTTTTTTTTTTATCATAATTTGCCTCTGATGAATTAGATGTTAACTTACTATTTGAATAATCACTAGCATTATCGTTGTAACTATTACTATACATTTTATCATATTTTCCAGATTGATTTCTATTGTATTTTTCAATTTTAAGAAAATTTTCTTTTTCATTAAAATCAATAACTGCATGTCTATAAAAAAAAAAAAAAAAAAAAAAAAAAGAGGAAATAAAATAATAATATAAACTACATTATTAATCAATTAAATATTGATATAAGAAAAAATATAATATTTATATAATATTTTATAAATGAAAATATAGAATAAATATATATATATATATATGTATGTATATTTTCTTTTATTTCTCAAAAATATATTTCATCATTTTAATTTAAAATAAATAAATTTTATTAAATATTACTTATTGGTTTCCAATAATCGTTTAATAAGAAAGTTTTCATGAATTTTTTTTATATTATATAATGGCATATTTTTCAATATATAATTTAACATATTTAAATTATTTAAATTACATAAATTTAAAAATTCGCAAGCTCTAGTTTGTAACTCCAAATCTGAATGATTAATACAATTATTCAGAATTTTTTTTACATTTGTCATAAGTCTATTATCGTAAAAAACCAATTTCATGATAGCCATTAAAATAACGCATTTTGTGTTTGGAGTTGCAAAATCAAAATATTTTTCTAGAGTTTTCAGTTGATCTTTAATTGGAACTTTATCTTTAATTAAATAACCAAAAGAGCCGATAATATACGAACATAAGTCAATAAGCAATTCTATTTTCGTAACATTATCAGATAAATATTTATAACATTTCATAGCTGCATAGGTTTGAATTTTTTGTTCTTTATTTTTATCTAGATTGATATCTTTCTTAGAAAGCTTATTATTCTTCTCATTTTCTACAAAACCAGTTATAATTTGAACTAATCTGAACCATACTTCTTGAAATATTGATTTATGTGTAATTTCAATTATTTTAAATATAACATCAATATACCATGATAAGTCAGGTGAGAATTTTTCTGCCAATATAGAGATTTTTATTATTATTTCATTTTGTATATAAGGATCAATATATGGCAAATGGTGTAAAAATACATTAATTAATAATTTCCAGTTATTATGATTACACATATTAAATAGGATATTAAAGGTTTGTAATTTAATTGTAATATCATCACTATTTAACAAATTAATTAAATGCATTATATGAGTTTCTAACATAGTATATATTTTTAAATTCATTTTTAATTTTGATAAACTATTTAATATTACATAATTGATATTTGATTTTTTCGTATCAAAAGAGGTTATTAAACATATGATTATATCCTTATTTCTATCCTCTATTTTATCATCTAAAAAATTAAATAAGTTAGAACATTCATATATTATTCCATATTCAATATATATGGCACTTTTTTCATTTCTTAAAACTTCTTTACTTTTTTTATTATTTATATAAGAAGTGTTTTTTGAAAATCCTTTCTTAAATATATTTTTACTACTACTATTAATGTCATCATTTTCACTATTTATTTTTCCTTGTAATTTTTTATATGGTTTTGATATAATCTTATATAATATATCATTTATGTTATTAATTGTAACTTGTGATAAGTTTTGAGCATCGTATAATTGTAGCATTTGCAAACACTTTATTAATAAAAAAGGATATCTAACTTGATTGTAATAAAAACCTTCATCTATTTTTAAATTTTCATCTAGTATTAAATGTATGACACTTAATATAAAATGAATGTATTTATTTATATATTTTTTTATTTCATAAAAATCTATATCGTCAATATTAAATGTGCATTCTGATTCTATCTCTAAAATTTTATCTACTTTTTTTAGATCGTTATAAAAAAAATTTTGTTCAATTGAATAAGAAGTTGATTTATTTTTTTTTTTTAATTCATCTTTTATATTTAAAGAAATTCGTTTATTTAGACTGCTTGACTTACTCTCTATTTTGAATTCTTCTCTTTTAAAAAAATCATCATTACCATCACTACAGTTTCTTTTTTTTTCTTCCTCTTTCTTTTTATAATAATATAATGACTCATATTTTTGAAAGACTAATATTATAACATAAATTAGATTTAAATAAGCATACACATTATAAAAATTTACTTCATTTAAATTTTGATCTAGAAATTTAAAAATCTCTAAATCATTTTTTCTTCTTAATAACAAGTCATGTCTCTTTTTATAGATATTTGCTAAACATAAAAAAGCTTTTTTTCTTATATGCGGTTTATAAATGTAATTAGAAGTTACTATTTGTAATATATCTTCATATAAGTTTTCTACGATAAGACCATTAATTTTATGACAAATAAAATGTAAAGCTAAAAAATTTATCTTTTCATCACTATTTTTAATATCTGATTTTATTGTGCTTACCATCATATTAAGCATTTCATTATTTTCATCAATTAACAATGATAAAGCTGTATACCCACAATATTTATCACTAAAATTGTTACTACTTATTAATTTTATTATATCTAAATATGATAATGAAATACCATATCCTAATATATGGCAATATATCAACTTCCATATATATTTCTTTCTTTTATAATTAGTTATATTTTTTTCATTAAATTTTTTTTTTATTTTAACTATTTCTTGCAATACTTTTTTTTCTTCATCTTCTTTACTTTTACAATTTCTTACTTCATCAATAAAACAGTAAAGACCTTTTATACTATGTTTAATCATTTTAGATACAATTTTTTTTTTTTTTTTTTTATTAAAGCATTATTGCTAAATTTATTTAATTTTTATAAATATATATATATATAATATGATAGACAAAAAAAAAAAAAAAAAAAAAAAATTGTTTCATTTAGCATATTAATATATGTGTATATATTTATATATATATCTGTAATATATGAATAAAGATACAAAACTTTTTTTTTTTATTACTTATTATTTTCTTCTTAGAATTAGATAATCAATAAAACTATTTTAATTTAAACACCAGTACAACAAATAAAAATTAAATATATATATATATATATAATAAAATTATAAAAATATATGTATATATTTTAAAGTATTAATACATACAAATATATTCTCTTCTTTTTTTTTTTTTTTAATGGGATGAAAATTTCATGTCACTAGACGATTTTTCTTAATTTCTTCTTCTCTTACATCAAGATATATGTATACTTAAATGTTAACACAATTTAAATTTATGCACACAAAAATTTTACTTACCTTTTAATTTTTCTAAATTAAATAGAAAATATAAAAATAATAAAGGTGTAAAATGACTAAGGACGAAAAAAAATTTTCATATAATTATATATATGTATATATATTTATATATATATATATATATTATATTTCTCAATAGAAGTTATAAACAAATAATATTCTTTAAAATAAAATTTTAGAGTATTAAAAAAAATTTTTTTAAATGTTTCAAAATTTTTATAAATTTGTATAATTCTATATCTCTAAAAGCGTTAAATTTTATTAAAAGAAAAAGTAGAAATTTCAATGTTATTATATATAAAGAAAATATATATATATATATATAAAGTATTTTTTAAAACAATTTTCTATTAGATTTGAAAAATGAAATAAAAAATTATATAATTTTTTATTTTTAGTTTTTTAACTTATATGAAATATTTTATATAATTTTATTTATATGCACTCGGTAAATTACATATTTTAATAATATCTAAGCTTTTAAAATTTATATTTTTTTGTACATGAAATTTAAATTTATAAAATTTATCTTTTAATGAAAAAAAAAAAAAAAAAAATGTACGTTAACACAAATAAACATTTCGCACCAATATAATTTTTTTTTTTTAGAAAAAAAAAATAAAAACTATATGAAATAAAGTATAATGAAATGAAAGAAAAGGAAAATAATTTTAATTTCCTATTCTTTATTATATTTTTTATTTTTATAATAACTCTTTAAATTTTATATATTATAAACGAATGACTAAAAATATGATATTTAAAAAAAAAAATTAAAAATTAAAAAAAATAAATATAAAATATTTATAAAATTACAACATAAATTAAAAATTTAACTAAACTTTTTTTTATCATTTTAAACTAATTATATCTTTTGTCTTTAATATTATTTAAATTAGTAATATCATATTAATCTGAATAAAATTTTTGCATTTTATTAATCAACCGCAATCGTTTTCTTATTATAACTAAAAAATAATAAAGTATTATCATTGATAAAATACGGTAGAATGTATATGTATTATAGAAAATAGCTACAACCAGCTTTTTAGTGAGTTTTTTTTTTTTTTTTTTTTTTTTTGTTAATAATAAAATATGATAATATAAAATATATTAATAATTTATTAAAAAAAAATGAATGATACATACATTTATAAATGAAAAAACTTATATTTACATTAAAAAAGAAAAAACTTCTTTTTTCAATAACCCATATATATATATATATAAATATATATAGCATATAATTAATAGTGGAAAATATGAATAAATAAAAATAAAGTGCTCTAATTTAAAAATTAATACAAAATATATTTCCCTTATAAAAAAATAGAATCTTACTTTATTTTTTAAAATAAAATTTATGATTAATTAAAATTTCATATAGAATAACACTCAGCAGTTACAATTTTGTAAATTTTTAAATATTTCAAATTTTAATACCTATTAAAAAAAAAAATTATCTGTAAATAATTAAAAATGTTATTAATGAAATTTTCATATTAAAAAAAAAAAAAAAAAAAAAAAAAACTGAATTAAAGAATTGGGAAAAAAATATAAAAAGAAAATGAAAAATAAATAAATACTCATATATATATATATATATATATAAATTAATATATATATATATTATTTTCTTCATAACCATTGATTTGAGCATACCTCTAAATATATATTAATTTCTATAAATTCAAAAAAAAAAATATATATATATATTTATATGCACTTTTTTTTTTAAATATTTAATACTCTTCCAAAAAAAAATTATTTTTAAAATACATTTCAATTTTATATGTTTTAAAATTTATATTCTTTGATGAAAAAACATTCCTACATGATATTTTTGTGCAACAGAATGATGACATTATAAAATAAAAAAATTCATAATAAAGAAATATTATCAAAATAAAATTCTATTTATCATAAATATGTACGATTATATTTATAAAAAAAAAAAAATACTTTTGAAATTTTAAAAAAATTTTTTATTTTATTTTATTTTTTTTTTTTATTTTATCATTGTTAATTGTAATTTTTATTTTTATTAAAGATAATTTTATATGAGGAAAACTTTTATTTTTTAATTTATTTTTATATTATTTGATATGCATTATAAAAACCATTTAAATATTCTTTCTATTATAAGAATATTCAAAACTTTATACATATATGTATATATATAATTATATTTTCTTTTACTGTATGTAATAAGAATAGAATTATAAAAAATATTATGGAGATAACAAATATTTTTAAAAAATTGTTAAGACAAAATGTAGTATATACAGAAAGTAATTCTTTATTTAGTATATTTAAAAAACAGAATGAAGAAACTTTGAAAGAAAAAACAGAAGAAACTCCAAATGTAGAATCGCTGAGTGAATTAAAAAATGATTCATTAAAAAAAACAGAGGAAGAAAAATTAAAAGAACAGAATTTTTTACCATACACAAATAATTTTGATTCATCTAATGCACTATTATTTGAAAATTTAAATAAAGAATATAAATTTATAACTACACAAGATAATTTTGATGGATTTCGTTTTGAAGTTGATAAAAATGTAAATAAATATTTACAGTCAACACATACTTTATTTTTGGGTACAAGCTTAAGAGATATTGGTTATTTATATCAGTTTGGAGCTAATTTTACAAATAGTGATAATAGTTTATTAATGATAAGTAGGATAAATATAGATGGAAGCGTAAATGGTAGATTTTGTAAAAAAATTAATCCTAATATAGATTGCAAATTAAATTTTAACACATTTGCAAAAAGTGATACAAGAAATATGTATGAAATGTCATTAGAAGTAAATAAACCAGTATACACGTATAATATCAAGACGATATGGCAAGGAGCATGGATATTTAATGCATCTTATACACAATTATTAACAAAAAAATTTCAGGCAGGAGTAGACTTAACATATATCGCCTCAAATTGTGCATCTATTGGATCATTTGGATTACGTTATAATCATAAAAACAACGTTATAACCATGCAAGTAATTAGACAACCAAATTTCAAATCACCAGAATTTATGTTAAATCAAACTCATTTATATAAAATTCAATATGCTAAAAAAATATCAGATCGCTTATCATTAGGAACAGAACTTGAATTAACTCCACAAACAAAAGAATCAGCTATGAGACTTGGTTGGGATTACTCTTTTAGACATGCAAAAGTTCAAGGTACAATTGATACAAGTGGTAAAATTTCAGTATTTACTCAAGATTATTCAGGTTTTGGGGTTAGTGGATATATTGATTATTTAAATAACGAATACAAATTTGGATTTATGATGCATATTTCACCTTCACAAGAGCAACCTCAGCAACAACCTTCATAATAGGATTTAACGAAAGGGAAAAAAAAAAAAAATTGTGAACAAAGTCACACAGAAATAAATTTTTAGGATTTTAAAGTTATATATCGAAAAATATATATATATATAATTTATATCACTTTATTTGAATATATAAAAATAGATATATATATATATATACACATTTTATATAATGCATTGATTCTAAAAATACACATTTGTAATTTTTTAAATATATATATATATATATATATATATTATGTTCTTTTTAATACTTCATTTATTTTAAGCTTTTAATGTTTTTTTTTTTTTTCTTTTTTTTTATGCATGAATAGCAACTATTTTGACGAATAATATAAAAAAGAAATTACTCTTTATTTTCAGGCAAATTTATTTTTAATTATTATTTAAAAAATATATTTATCATAAATATAAAATTATTAAAATATTATATTATTATGTGAAATAAATAATCTTTTTACAATATCTATTATTTTATAAAAATGAAAATTGTTTCAATTCAAAATTTTAAAGAAATAATAGTTTATTAAGAAAATAACGAAAAGACAAACTTAGATTTTTTTTATTTTTCACTAATATTTTTTTACTTTTTAACCAATGAGAGTATTGAAGCTCTGACAGAATAATTTTAACAAATGTATAAATTCTTTAAAACACAAAAAAAAAAAAAAAAAAAAAATATATATATATATATATAAATATATTTTAATCCTATAAGAAATAAAAAACAATTGAAATAAATTAATTCATAAACGGCACTTATTTTTGATATTGATATATTATCTATATTCTTTTCTAATTAATTTTTTTTAGATATTATTACTTATTACTAAAATAAATAACAAAAAAAAAAAGAAAAAAAAAAAAAAAAATACTAAATATCCATATTTACTTTAAATTATTACCTTTATTATACATTAATTCAACATCTTTAATTTTTCAAAATCAAAATCACTTGAATTTAATCTTTTATTATTTTTATCTAAGATACTGGATATTTCATCATTAAAATTGTCATCAGTTTTAATATTTAAGGAGTGCATTATATGAACTATAGAAGAGAGTATTAAATTATGAAACTTACTAGAATTATCATAATTAGGTAAAACAAAATCATGATATATTCTTTTAACTAAATCAAACAATTCTTCATCACATAATAAAAAAACAACATTTTTTATAGATTTTAAAATTTTTAAACATCTCATTAGAAATATGTTTTTCTTTTGCATATTAGATATGTTTTTATAACACTGTAAAAATGTAGTTAGATATATATTAATTTTCTCTTTTATTTTATCAATTAATATGTCTCTATTACAATTATATAAAATAAAATCCTTAATAATTATATATAAATTAAAACTTTGTTTCAATGAAAAAGGATTCCACACCTCTATCAATTCATACACCTTTTTATTATAAATATGATAATATAACTTTTCCATAATTTCTTTTTCACTAAGACTATCGTAAATAATAATCAACTGATCAATGAATTTGTACCATTCAAATGATTTTACATAAGGATTATAAAAAAAATTTTTTTTAAGTTTATATTTTAATTTTTGAAATTTCTCATTTTTAAAAAAGGAATGAAATTCTTTTTTATTATTTATATTTTCTTCTTTATTTTTCTTATTATTTTTTTCACAACAATCTTCTTCATTACTATACATAGAACTACTCAATGAAAAATTACTTTCTGAATTTAAAGAAGATTTGTTATCTTCATTGTTACTTTCACTTATGTCATTATTATTACTATTATTAGAGTCGTATTTAGAATAGAAATAGAAATCATTTTTTTCATTATATATATTATCATAATTTTCACTTACATAAACTTTACCTTTATTATCATTTAAATTACTTTTTTTACATGAATTCTCTTTTACTGCTTTATCGTAATAATTTAGGATTTTTATTTTATTTTTTTTTTTTAATGAAAATTGATAAAGTGGATCCCAATACAATAATTCGCATTTTACAAAAAAAAAAAAGATTGTATCAAAACAATTCAAACAATTATAATTTTTAAAAAATTCATAATTATATAGTTTTAATAAAAAGAAATACTTTATAACATTTTTAAAATTTAAAAAAAAATGGTTTACATTTTCAAATATGTTATTTATCCCTATTAAAAAATTTTCTTTTAATTTCTTCATTTTTAAGGTTTGAAAATATTTCTGTTTTTCTTTTTTTTTTTTATCTTCAACTTTCTTATTATTAATTTCTTCTATCTCTTTTTTTACTTCTTCTTTTTGTTTTTCATCATATTCACTCGAATAAGTATCAGTTGAATAATTACTTGAAAATCCGTCAAACATATAAAGTACAGATATGTTATCAAAATTTTGATCATCATTTATTTCGTTAACTAAATATTCATTAAAATGTGAAATATTACTATATGATAGATAATTTTTAATTATTTTGTTGTCTATGAGATTCTTTAATTGATCACATTTTTTTCTTTCTTTTTTATTTTTATAATATTTCGAATTAAAGATATATTCATTCATAAATGTTAGCTTAAACCTTTCATAATATTCTTTATATAAATATAATTTTAAATTATGATAAACTAAGTGAAAACATTGTTCCAATTTAAATAAAACATTTAAGGCAGCATCAACATATTTATATTTTTCAAAAATAAGATTAATTAAAATCTGTATAAATTCACCAAAAATAGTGCATATAATTATTTCTTTTTTTCGTTTCTTACATATACTTTTAAGTATGTTGAATTCATTTTGATTTTTATATTCTAATTCTTTTATTTTATCATATTCCTTTGTTTTGCTTTTATATTCATCAAATAGTTTTTGTATATAATCATTCATTTTAATAATTTGTAAATTACAAACCGCTTTTTCTTCAAATACATTCTTAATTTTTTCAAATAAAATTTTATTTTGCTTATTGTAAATATCAATTTTTACGAAATCTTCCTCATCATCAACACAAGAAAAAGAAATGCCATCTTCATTTGATTCCTTTTTCATATTTTTTACATTCAAACAGTTTTCTTCACTATACTCATCATCAGATTTTTGTAATTCATAAAAAAATTTGGAAGTTTTTTTTAATTCTGTAAGAACTTTGTTGTCAACAATTTTATTAATTTTTTCTTCTTCATATATATCATAACCTTCATAAGATTCGTTAAATTCGATTTCATCTTTTTTTAACGTTGAAATATTATTATAATCCTTGTCAGTATTTATTTCTTTATATAAATTTTTTATCTCTTCATTTCTATTATTTTTTATTAAAATTCTGTTTTTCATTTCATTAACTGTTTCGTAATTATATATATCTTCCACTTCTAGATCATCTTCTAATAAAATATTTCTTATTTCACTTGTATGAAAGTTATTTTCTTTTTTAATTGAGAAATTAGAAATATAATCACCTTCGAATATATTCATATTATCATTAAGTTCTTTTTTTTTTCTTAATATTTTCTTTTTTAATTTTATTTCTTCAATTAGTTTCTTTTCTTCTTCATTCTGTACATCATCTTTTTCATTTTCAAAATTTATCATTATATTTTCGCAATTTGAATATTCTTCATCTATAATTATATTCCCTATTTTATTATCATCATTCATTTCTTCTTTCGCTGAATTTGGTATATAAGATAAATTATAAATTAAACTATTATTATCTGTATCTTTGTTAAAGTCATTTTTATTTATTTCACTAAAATATGAATCACCTTGTATTAAATCATGTGTTAAAGAATCATTACTATTTTTTGTGACCATTTTATTATTATAATTATCAGTAAAATTATAAACATTTTTTTTATAATCATTATCATCGCTATTGTTATCATTCAATTTTAAATTTCCATAAAGAGCGTAACTAGTACAATCATTATTACTATCATTGTTATCATCATTTTCATATCTATATATATAATTATCGTTATTTATTTTTATTTTATCTTTCATATTGCATTTTTTGTATGAATGTGAAATATTTTCCTTTTTATTTTGAATATAATTTTTATTATATAGGTGTTTTTCTTCACTTATATATGCATAATTGGAATTATCTTCTTCATTTAATGCTTTGCTTGAATTAATTACATTTCTAGAATTATTTTTATAATAAGGTTCTATTATGCTCCTTTTTCCATCAATATTGGTCAACAAATTTTGAAAATGATTGCTTGCTTTTTTTTTCTTTTTAATAGTTATGTAGCTATCTGTATCATCTTCACTGTATATATGAAAACTGGTATTCATTTTATTTACTCTACTTATTTCTTCTTTCTTTTTTTTTTCTATAATGCTTAACTTTTTTTTTTTTTTTTTTGCTTCATCTCTATTATCAGAAAAATTAGATTCATTTTTTTCATTATTTTTATCAAATGATTCTTTCTCTAGTATATTTTCGTTAAGATTAATGTCTATATGCTTTCCTCTGTTTCTTTCTTTTTCTTCATTTTCTTTTTTCCTTATTTTTATATTTTCATTAGTTTCAAATTCAAAATGGTTCTCTTTATTTAATGAAAACTTTTCTTTATAATTCTCTTGTTCATTTTTTGGTTCTTTTTCATTTTCTTTATTACATCCTAAATCTACAATATTATTTTGATTGCAATTAAAATCATCTTCTAAATTTTTTTTAATATTTTTTTTTATTATTTTCCTTTTCGTAAACATATTAAAATATTATATATTTTTATAATATAAATAAAATAAATTATTATAATTTAAGGAGATGCATTTGTAAAAATATTGGTAATTTCTTTTGATATTAATAATTTAAAATTTTTTTCTCATTTTAGTTTTTTACATATCATTTTATAAATATACTTTTTTTTTTTTTTTTTTTTTTATTTTGCTTTACATTTTAATATAATTTAAAAAGTATATATAAATATATTTTTGTTTATAGAAGTTTTTCCAAAAATTTAAAAATAAAAAAAAATTAATTTATAATTTATTAAACTTAATATTTTAAAAAAGAAATAATTTGTTACAACACGAAAGTATATTTTATTATATATATTTTTTATTTTAGAACAAGGTATTTAATATATATATTTAAATGGGATCAACTTCAGCAATGACACACTTTTATTTTTATTTTGTTATATTCTTTTATTTAAAATTGAAATAATAATAAAAATACAAATTCAAATATTAGTTAAAAGCAGAGCTACTTTTTTAATAGAACTTTCTTGAGAAAATAATCGCAAAAAAAAAAAAAATTTATAAAAATAAAGGTTAATTGGCATATATATTTATTTATCTAAATATACAATTTTCTCTAAGACAAAAGAAAAAAATCATTCCTTTATAAAATTTATTTGATTTATTTTTAATTGTTTTTTAAAGTATTTTTTTCCTTCATTTATTACAAAAAATTCTACCTTTTGGAAAAAAAATTCAAATTTTTATTATATAATAATGAAAAAACATTTTTTTTTTTTTTTTTTTTTTTACATTCATAATTTATGTACAATACATAAAATTTATTTAGCTTAATGAAAAAAATAAGAAAATAAGTTTTATATATAAGAAAAAAAAATATATACCTTAATATGCATTTTAAATGAAAAAAAAACGTAATTTAAAATTAATAAATTAAATTAAAAAAAAAAGAAAAAAAAAAAAAAAAAAATTAAAAATAGAAGATTTTTACTATATAATTTAATAATTCAAGTACTACATTATTCCATATACTTCTTATAATTCTTATGTAATTCCTGCAATATTTAATTTTATCATGAACACTAATAATTCTTTGTAAACTTACAAGATAATTTCTTTGAATATTTTTGGTTTTAATTTTCTACTCTCTCGATTTTTTTTTTAATTTAACATTTTTACCGAAAGTTTTTATGTTTTGCATTTTTTTTTTATTGTATTTTATTCTTTATAAATAGTTTACTGGATATTCTCCTTCATATAAAAATTTTCGTACCTCATCCTTTTTAACTACTGCATTTAATCTTTCACAAACTGTGTTCATATCAAATTCTCCATTACCTAAACAAGTGGTAGCACCTGGTGAAGGAGTAATATTAAAAATAATATTTTTTCCTGAATCTATTTTTCCTTCACCTAATAATAATTTTTTGCTTTTTTTATTTATGAGTTGTGGTCTAACTCCTCCATATCCAACACAATATGTTAAATCTTGTTTAGTTAATGTAGGAATAATTTTTCTTACATCTTTTAAAAATAAATATTTATTTAAAATAGGAATCTCAAATAAAAAATTACGAGCAACATATTTTAACATAGTCATATCTTTGAATAAATTATAGTATACATGAAACAAATTTATATCAGGATTCCATACTTTTAAAAAGTCTTTAAATGTTTTTATATTATCTCTTTCAAGTAATGGCAAAGGTAACGCTGTTGGACCGAATCTAGTCCTTCCTTTTTCTATTATATCGGGATCACCATGAACAGCAGCAAAAGGTAGAGCTGGATTTTGAATTGTATACACTTTACCATTTAAAATGTAATCAGTAAAATAAAAACTTCCTGCTACTGGCATACAGCTGTACTCTAAACCATAATTCATTTTTTGGGCTATCATTAACGAATGGCCACAAGCACATACTACAACAAAACGAGATTTTATTGTTCCTTTATTTGTATATATTTTATAAAGAGAATCATTTATTTCCTCTATATTTATTACTTCTGTTAATAAATTTATAGAAATATTCTTATCAACATTTTTAGATGATTCTATAAAACTTTGAGCTAATTTTTGATAATCACATGTTGTTAATTCAGGTGGCATATATAGAGCTGACAACTTTTCTTCTCTCAGAGTATATGCATCTTTTAATGCTACACGTGGTTCTACTTCATGTATATCTTCTATATTATATAATTTCATTGACTTAAATAACTGCCTAAAGGTTGGATATCTCTCTTCTAAAAACTGGCATTCCTTTTCTCCTACACCTAAAACCATTTTTTGTGTTACACTTGATATATCATCTCTCTTTTCTTTTGGTAATTTTGTTAAATAATTTCTTAACAGATCAGCATATCTTTTTATAAATTTTGCTTTTTCAAAAGTATAATTTGTTTCTATATCTCCACAGTGTATTGTTTGACTGTTATTTTTTCCATGAGATGCTACCAAGGCAAAATTATCTCTTCTTTCTATTAATGCCAATTTTTTTAAATTCGTAAATTTAGATAATAAAAATAATAAAGCAGTCCCTGTTACTCCTCCTCCTACTATTACCGTATCGAAAACCTCATTATTATGCAATTCTCTTTCCGTATTAATATTTATTGAAACATTCTCTTTTATCTTATTTTCAGAATTTACTGTACTACTAAACTTTCTTCTTATTCTTAAAAGTTCTATATTACCACTATTATTAACCTCTTTAAAGGGACTAGTTTTATATATATTTAAAATATTTTTAAATTTTAGCATTTTTAATTAAAATTATTATATCTTACCATGAATAAAAATTTTCATAAAATAATTAAACTAAAAAAGGAAAACAATTAAAAGAATATGATTATATATGTATATAAACAAATATTTGAAGTGGTTAAAAAATAAACAAAAATCCAAATTATCAAAAAAAAAAAAAATTTATATGTCATCCATTAAAACTTTTTAATTTTCTATAATTATTAATAGTTTATATGGTATGCAAATATTGAAAAATAATTTATTAGTTTTGCTAATAACAGCATTTTTTTTATCCATAACTATGATAATAATAAATTTAATCCATGTAATTAATATTAAAAGTACATAAATGGAATTATATAAATACCTCTAACGTGAAATGCAATAAAAAAAAATTTATAATTTCATTTTATAAATAATTTCTCATTATTAAATAATTTATTCTAATAAAAATATTATTAAACAGTTTCTAAACAATTTATAAAAAAAAAATAAAGAATAAAATTTTGCGAAAAAAAAAATATATTTTTTTAATTATACTGTGTTTTATATATTTTATTTTGCAATAATATATATAAAAAAATTAGGAATTAATTTTATTTTATTTTCTTAAATTCATCATAATTATAATTTCAAATAATTATTTATTAAAAAAGAAAAATTATTCATGATCAAATATATTTTTTTAAAATTATATTGAAATATAGTATCTCACGTATCTTTTTAATTTTTTTTTTTTTTTTTTTTATTTAAAATAACTGTAAGTTGTAATAGCCTTAACGAATTTATGCTTCATTTTATTTTATTTTTTTTTTTAAATAGATATTAAAGCATTTTTATGCACATTTTTATTTTTGAATTAAAAGAATAAAGTATAATGCATATAATATTTATGTAAAATTTAAGAAAAAAAAAGAAAAATATGAAAGTTTTAATTTATTTTTAAATAATTAGCCTTTTTTCTATAGAGAACCTTTTCATATATATATATATAATAAAATACTTTATTATTTATTAGATAAAAAAATAAAATATTTCAATTTATTTTTTAAATTTAAAAATTTTATTAACAAGGTAACGTTACTCTTATTTATATTATTTATTTATTTTTCATAAATTATTTAAATCTTGTTTTATACTTATTTTTTTTAAGTGTGTAATTAAAAAAACCTTAAATTTAGATTTAATAGAAAACAATAAAATAAATTTTAAAAAATAAAATAATATAAAATATATATATATATATATGAAAATTTGCCCATATATCTCATTATGGTTAAAAATTAAAATAATAAGTATTTTCTGTATATATTTTTTAATATTTAGGTTTTGTAATTTTTAAAAACATATAACATACATAAAATTTAATATGATAATATTTAAAAAGGAAAAATTAACGCTTTTTATAAGCATAGTAAAAATGAAAAAAAATTTGCCAAATTAATGACATAAAAAAAAAAAAAATACTGAGAATAAAAGAGTTTATCATTAATATATTTGAATAAATTATATTACTGTAAAGATATTTCAAAATAAATATATATAATTATTAATTTATATAATATATTTGATAATCATAAGAAACTATGAAATGTAAAAGAAAAAAAAAAAAAAATAAATAGAAAATAATTATTCTCAAAAGTTATATATTATACTTTAGAAAATGTAAAAACTAGAATTTATTAATAAATAAAAAGAATATCTTAGTATATACATATATTCTTAAAAAAAATGCAAAATAGAAACATATTTTTATTCTCTTTTTATTAGCATTATATATTTAAGTAATGCAATCGTCACTTAAAATATTTTACGTTTACATTCTTTTACTAATATTTTTAAGTATCAAAAATATGTAATAAAAAGATAAACATATATATATATATATATATATATATATATATATATATATATATATATATATATATATATATATATATATATTAATTACAGAAAGGAAATAATAAAAATAAAAATAATTAAAAAAAAATAATAATAAAATAAGATAAAATTACAAATATATAATGGAAAGTTTGAAAATACTTGTTTTAGGAGACCTCGGTGTAGGAAAAAGTTCCTTTTTAAAATTAATAAGTGAAAAATTTTATGAAATATATCCAATTAATTATTTTGACTATTTTATATATTCTGATGAAAAAGAAGAAAATAAACAAATTGTAAGAGCAAAAGATTTAGCAAATAATAATTGTGCACAAAAAAATGTAGAAACAATAGTAGAATCAATGTTTTTTCAAGCTAAAAAAAACTTTCTTGAATTTATTGAAAATAAAATGAATACACAAAATTTTTTTTTTGAAGAAAGACACAAATATACCTATGGCTTTGAGATTTACACATTTTTATGGAATAAAGATAATGAATATAATAATAAATTTATAAAAAACATTCCTCTCAATATGCTAAAGAATGATGAACTATTAAATAATAATAATTCATTAAATTCAGATGATAATAATGTATTACTTATTGAATTTTTTGAAATAGGAGGAGTACAGACATATTCCTATATTAGAAATATTTTTTATGAAAAACATGATGGTATACTACTAGTTTACGATTCATCTAATAATAAATCGTATCATAACTTGGTAAAGTGGCTTTATGAATTATATATTAACACCAAGCCTCCTTCTGACATTTTTTGTGTAGTAAAAAAAAAAGAAAATACCTTGTGGAACTTTTTTAAAAAAAAAAAAAAAAAAGATAATTCTAATGAAGAAAATATTAATACCATTTATACTGAAGATAATTATAATGAATTCAGAAATATAAAATATAATGATGATGATTTTTTATCTGATGAAAATTCCGATATTGAAAAGGGTTATTATAAAAATGGTGATAGAATTTTAAAAGGAGAGATACCAATAGCTTGTGTAGCCACAAAAATTGATAAGAAAAATTCTAAAGAAAAACCTGCGTTTGCTAAAACACCCAAAAAATCATGTTTTTATGACATATTTTTCTCTGATTTTTTCTCTAAAGAACCTATATATGAAAGTAAAAACAACTTAAAAATAAAAAAGGAAATTTTAAAAAAATTAGAACATCATATAAGTGAAGCAATAGAAATTAAAGCTAGTTCTATCGATTGTGTTGTTGACATTGATAATTTTTTAAATTTTTTAAAAACCGCTTATAATAAAAAGTATAAGTTTCCAAAACTTTAGTTTTAATTATAAATGTAATATATAATTTTTTTTACAATATATATATATATATATATATATATATATATATATATATTTTTTTGTAATTAATCATTTATCTTTTATATTTATTAATTTCATTTAGTTTCAAATATTTTTCTTATTTAAATAAGAAATAATTTTTTTGAATTCAAATATAAATAACATTTTTTTTTCTTTCTCTTTTTTTTTTTTTTTTTTTTTTTTTTTTTTTTTTTTTTTTTTTTTTCTGTGTGCAAATAAACAAATATGTTTTATTATATATATTTGTAGCTTTTAATACTTTATTTTATATTTTACTTTTTTTTTATTTTTTTTTTTTTATTTTGTTTTAAGTATCCCTAATTTTTAATAATAAATAATTACCTTATATTATACCTTTTTCTTTATAAGAACCATGTGTAAATAACTATTTATTTGTTACAGTTTTTAAACTAAATTAATATAATAATTTGAAGGTTTTTTTTTTGTTGTTTATATTTATTATTATAAATTATGCTGGATGAAAAATTATCTTGTTTGCTAGATGAAAGTGAAGATGAACTTAATGACACAAATGATACTACATATAAAAATGAAGAGTGTTATTTAAATGAAAAAAACATAAGGAATGATAATTGTAAAAATTCTTCAAGTTCATTATTAAACTTTAACATTCGTAATCTTGGTAATTTAGATGCTTTTTTTAAAATTTCGAATGATAATAAAAATTTAAAACAGAACGATATTAATATAAGAAATAATAACTTAAATGAAAATACTCCATTCTATAATGTAGGAAAAAAAAAAGATGAAAATAATTCAGATAATAATTTGAATACAAATGATATAAATGACAATGAAAAAAATATTTTGAATACTGAATTAAAAAAAAAACATGCACAATTAAAAGCAAATTCACTAAATAATTTTGTGAATATCAAAAATGTGAAATGTGACGAAATTAATAAATATACTAATGAATCTTACACATATCTTTCTCCAAATAAAAAAAAAATAAGTAACTTTGAAAATAAATCAAAAAATGAAAACGCCTTATCTAATACCTTAAATAATGTCCATAATGATGAAATAACGACAAGTTGTAAAATAAATGAAAATCACAATGAATCAGAATGTAAAAAAAAAGATATGCTCCTTCAGAAAGAAAAGGGTTATTTACTCAAAGAAAAGGATAATTTAGAAAAAAATAAAGAAGAAATGGTAGATAATATTATTTATGAAAGAAACAATTTTTCAGAAACCTATTTATATAAGGAAAATTTTAATATAGGTGAAATTAAGAAAAATAATGCATTAAAAGAAAAGAATTTAAGCAATAATATAAAAAAAAATGATTATAAAAATTCTGAAAATAATAATATAGATTTATCAGATCAAACTTTTACTTTAATTGATACTAACAATGAAAGCAATAATTATATAAGAAATAACGAAATATTAAAAGAAAACTCATTCAATTATTCTGATCTTAATTTAAATGAAATGTTCCTTAAAAACAGCAAATCATGTAATTCATTTAATAGTTGTGAATTTAACACAAATGAAAAAAATAAAAAGAGAGCCTCAATCTTAAATAGTAACTCAACTAAATCTAATTCTCTTATTGGACCAGCTGGATTGCAACACAAAATTAAAAAGTATGGAAATACAAAAAGTAAAGAATTAATTTATTGTTTTTCTTTTATAAAATATGGATCGTGGATCAAAGGATTACAAATATTAAATTTGCCATTAGATCCATTTCACTTAAGCATAAACAGTCATAAATATATATATGATAATCCATCTAATGGATCTTTTTTATATAAATATAATATACATACCATTCTAAATAATAAAAAATTTTTTAATTACAGAATTGAAAGGATGATGGTTATAGTAAAAAGTATCATATGTCGCAATCATGGATACTTTTTAGTTGTTATGGACCCCTCAGGCCAAATGCCAGCTTCTTTGCATAAAGAAGTAGAAAGTGAATATAAAAAAAAAATTGATATTGGATGTACCTTACTTTTGAGAGATGTAACTGTTTTTGACACTATAGATAACTTCCCTTACTTAATAGTTACATTAAGAAGTCTTGTAAGAGTTATAAAATCTGAAGAAACAGATTATGTAACTAAAGAAAAAATATTTAATGGACTAAAAATATAACATGTTTAGTTATCTCTTAATTAAAATACATAATACATAATTTATAAGCAATTCGTCTTCTAAGATTATAAAAAAAATGATATTGTCATCTAATCCTTAAAAATGAAAAATGAAACATTTATATTCTCTTCCTCCGTTTTTTTTTTTTTTTTTTTTTTTGTGAAGAATTAAATGCATATTAAAGTATCATAAGATATTTTTAGAATAAAACAAAATAAAAAAAATTATTTCTGATCTCTATTTTTAAAAAAATAAATAAAAATAAAATAGAACGTCAATTGACACTTTTTAAATACAAAGATACAAGATGTTTTTGTTCACAATTTTTTATTTCTTTATAATACAAGAAAACAAATAACATAATAAAAATTCAAATAAACTTAAAATATAATTTAATGAATTACTAAAAATTTAAAAATATTTTTTAATTAAAAAAAAAAAAAAAAAAGGAAAAAAAAAAGAAAGAAAAGCTTGAGGTATTCAATGAATTAAGAAATACTTAATAAAAATTTATGTATAAATATACATTAACTTTTTTTTTTTTTTTTTTTTTTTATTTCCAAGAATATTCTTCATTTAAATTAACATTTTGTTCTTTGCTTTTTGATTCTTTTGTATCTGATGATATTGAAAATTCATTAGAATCTAATGCCCTTACTATTCTTTTATTTTTTCTATAATATAAATAAAACGCAAAAATGCCTACTGATACAAATGCGATTAGTGCACATGCAGCCGCATACTTATATGTATGTGGAGAAGAATTATGATCATATTTATTTTTATTTTCTTCTCCTTCCTCATTATATTGATTAATATTATTCATGTCATATTTCTGCTCAGTATCTTCCTTATTCAAATGACTTGTATTTTCAATGATAGATGAATTTTCTTTTCTAGAACTACTTATTCTAGGCTCTTTAAATGATAATGAATTTGATTTTTCATCTTCAACCGATTTTGATTCATCATTACTAATATTAGCTGATTTCGCATTACTTAAATTGTCTGATTCTACATTACTTATATTGTCTGCTTCTATATTACTTATATTGTCAGCTTCTATATTACTTATATTGTCAGCTTCTATATTACTTATATTGTCTGCTTCTATATTACTTATATTGTCTGCTTCTATATTACTTATATTGTCTGATTCTACAGTGTCAGACGATTCTGGTTCTGTTGTTCTTGTTGGCTTTAATTCTTCATTATGAATTGAATTATTTTTTTTGGTATTATTTTGATAATTCTCCTTTAAAATATTTGTTTCAAATTCATCAGTATTATTTTGTCTATTATTTCTTGAACTAATTGCTTTTGGGTATTCATTATGATCTGCATAATATTTTCTATTGTAGAAATTATCATCTTTTGGCAAAATTCTTCTTCTACAATTAGTTCTATTTTTATTAAATGAACCAATACATTGTTCATCACTTGAATTATCATTATTTTTATTTTCTTCTTGTTTTGTTATGGGAATTTTAATATTCAACTTCTCTTTAATACTAGGCTCAATGAAGACATCACTTGAAGCATCATTTGTATTTTTAAATTTTTTTAAATTTTTATAATCATCTTTTTTTTTAATTTCACTATATATTGTGTCTCGCATATTTTTATCTTCTTCATTAACTAGTAGTACTTTTTTTTCTTCATTAGAATTATCTTTTAAAACCTTTTCTTCATCATTAAGATAGCTGCTGTCATTGTCATATTTATTTAATTCGTTTTCAAAATACACAGATCTTTTTTTTCTATGTAACTTTTTTTCGCTATTTGTTGGATTTTCTGCATTAGGTAAATAATCATCGTTTTTTTCTTTTTCATATTTTTCCATTTCACCATCTTTTTCACCTTCAGGAAATTTAATGTCTTTTTTATGTATTTCAAATTTATATTCAGGAATTCTGTCTTGAATTTCTTTTGCTTTTTGCATTAGTTTTCTATTTATTTTATAAATCTCCGAAACAGATATACCAGGTGGTAATGCTTCATTTTCCCACTTTACATTCTCTTCTTCTTGAGAAGAATATTCAGTAATTTTTTTATCGTTAGAATCAGCTTCATTTTTAAATATATCATCTAAAAGAATATCAAATTCTTGTTCTATCTCTTCTTCTTTTTTATCACTTTCTCCTAATTTTTCGTCTTCATATTCTACTTTTTGTATAAATTTTTTAACCTTATTTTTCGATTCCTCACCAAAATGTTTGATGTTAAATTTTCTTTTTTTTCTGAACATATTTAACAATAATTTATTTACTAATTTTTTATATTTTTTTTTTTTACACTTAGAACTAGGAACATCATTTTTAGTATTACATTCATCTATAGGATTATTAACATCTTCATTTACATATGTTTCATTCAAATTATTTAAAGATCTAAGTATCATTTTATTTTTATTTGAATTGTTATCATTTAAATCTCTAGAAGAATTTAAATCTAATTTAATTTTAAACTTTCTCCTATTTTTCCTCGATAAATCATCATTTAAATAATCTCCTTCATAAGTTTTTGTGCTTTCTCCTTCTAAAGTAAAATTATCATCTGTTGTTCCTTCAATATTATAATTTAAATCTAGCATTTTAATATTATTTTCATTTTTTTCATTTAAGCATGGTTTTTCTTTATCTTTTTGTTTATTATCACAATTTTTAGAAGTCTTTTCTTCATCTTCTTGTTTTTCATGAGAAGAGTTATACTCTATATTTGAACACATATTTTTCTGTATTTCTAATATATCATTGAGTAAATCAGAATAGTTTAATAATGAATATGAATATTTATAATTTGAATTTTCATTTGAAGAAATACTTAATTTTTTGCAATTATCTTCGTTGTTATTATCAATACAAATAGAATAAATTTCAGCATTATAAGTTTTTTTAATTTTATCAATAGTTTCTCCTACCTCACTGATTGATTTTTCTTCTATATCACCACTATTGAATATTATTAAAACCTTTTTTGCATTTGGTCTTGTAAAATTAGAATTTAAAACATTATCATGAACAAATTTTAAAGCATTATTAATATTTTTTGAGATATCACCAAAATTATATCTCATATATCCTAAAAATATAAGTAGTTCATCTCTATCTTTAGATAAGATATTAGAAAAATCAAACCAATTATATACCGTATTAGAAAATGTAGTTAATGAAATATTGACTAGTTTTTCACTTATATTTAAATGTGATATCATCTTCCTTATGGAAGGAATAGTATATTTAGTCCAAGTTTCTTGAGAGATTTTAGATGAATCATCTAATAAAATAGAAAGATCTAATTCTATATCACACTTATCTAATGAATGATCACAACTAGTATTAAAACATTCTTGAAAAATAAAATTTCTTTGCTCTAAACAACTTTTTCCTCTTCTTTTATATAATCCATCTATTGCATTTTTCTCATTTTTCAAGGATTTTCTTTTTATAAAATGAGAACCTACATTACAAGTATTAGAACATGTGGACCACTCAGACCAATCAGTACATACTGCATTTGAAGAAATATCATCATAAAATTTGTTTAAAGTATGTGTTAACATAAAATTGTGAAAATAAGAATTTTTAAATACACATTTCAATAATTCATTTGTATTTGATCCTATTTTTTGAATGTAATTACAATAATTTTTAAATTTTGCTTTAGTAATTACATTTAATATAATTTTCTTTCTATCAAATAAATAATGGACTGTATTTAAATCAGCGTCGTCACTTAAAATATCTCCATCTGTATTCATAAACATGATGACCATTTTTGTCAAGTTATCGGTTGAATTAAAAAAATGTTTTATGCCTACATAATTTAGTGCTTTTAAATGATGAGATTTTTTTTCAGAATATTCACCCTTTGTATTTAATACAACTTCTCTAAATTTTTCAAATGCATTTTCATTTTTGTTATTCGTAGTTATTTTTGTTGTAACATTAAGATGGTCATAAGTAATATAAGAAATACTAACTTTTTTCTCATTTTCAACTAATATATTTTTTCCTAATTCTATAATATTTTTAAGCAAATGAGGATTATTTTCTCCATTTTTCATAATTCCTGCATCATATAATAAAACCAAATCTAAATCTCCCCTTTTAGTTATCTTTTTAATTAGATTTTCACTTCTAACAAAAAAAATTAAAAATAAAAACAAGTAATAAAGTTTAATAAATTCCATTTTATACTAAAAACAGAAATATAAACAAATTTAAAAAAGGAAAAAAGTAAACTAAAAAAAAAAAAAAAAAAATAATAAGAAAAACTAAAAAATTAGTAGTAAATCTAAAAAATATATATTCTAAAAAATTACAAAAAACTAGTAAATAAAAAAATTAAAAATATACATATATATACAATTATATAAACTTATAAAAAATAAGAAGTTTCTAATTCATTTAGTTAAATATATGTATAAAAATTGTCTCTTTTTTTTTTTTTTTTTTAAATAATTCTTTTATACATTTAAAATAAAAAATATATATATATTTATATATATATAAAATATCAATTGTCAATACTCTATAATTAGTTAATGAAAATTTTTTTTTTTTTTATTCTCATAAAATAATAGAAAAAAACATATATATATTGATTTAATTAAAAGTCATGTTAATGTGATATAAAGATATGTATTTAAATTATAATAATATATATATATATATATGTGAGAAAAAATAAATAACAAACATTTAAAAATAAAATTAAATCTTATTAATCTATATTTTGTTCTAATTTTTCTATATTTTTCAATGGGTTCAGATAAGTATAAAAAAAAAGTACACAAATATGATATTGTATAATAAAATTATGAGAAGCACATCTCCTCACTATTTTTAATGATAATTATATGTTCGTCCAACTTAAAAAATAATTGAAAATATGAAATATATAAAAAATTTCAATATAATAAAAAATTTGATAACTTCATTGATAAAAAGATATAAATACTATTATAAAAAACAACGGAAAAGAAATATAGAAAAGCGTATTTTAATAATTATGGACAATAGGAATTAAACATCATTTAAAACAGAACTATCCTAAAAAAATAAAAACAAAAAATTTTCCTTTAACTTCATGAAAAAAAAATTAAAATCCTCGCTATCAGATTCAATTAAATATATACATTTTTTTAAATATAATTTTTAGTATTTTATGAAATGATAAAACAATTCGGAAATATATATGTTTAAAAAGTGAGAATAAAAAGTTCTTAAAAAAATTATTTAAATTATTTATTCATTTTTTTTTTTTTCCTTTAACTTTTATTTTTAGAACATATCAATTTTATTTACCACTTTTTTTAAAATTAGCTGATTATAATTAACACATCTTATTTTTTTAATACATGCAATGATTCAAATAAAAAATTGGATTTTCATGCAACAAAATACAAAAAAAAAAAAAAAAAAAAAATAGATGTGTTGGCTTTTTATTTTTATAATATATATTATCTCTAAAGACTTAATTATCTTATTATGCATGCATCTATATTTATTTTTTCAATGTCACAATTAAAAGATTCTTTTTTCATTTTTTTATATTATATTTCCATATTTTTAAGTTTTATTTAAATTTTAAGACATATTTTATATTATTCTAAAATAATATTTTTAAAATAAAAAAAAAAATAAATGTATAAAATTAATTTAAAGAAACTTTCAACCATTTCAATTAAAGAAAAAAAATTTTGTGTTCCTTATTTCCCTTTCTTTTCAAAATTAAAAAAAAAAAAAAGAACGTCATTAAGACGTTATGTCTTAAATTATAAAACTTCATGTTTTAATTTTATTTTTTATTTTTTTTTTTTTTTAAATATGAATAAATAAAAAAAAAAAAGAATATATAAAAAATATGTTTTTTTTCTTTAATCGTGAAAATAAAGAAAATAAATTATGAATGAAACACTTTTGAATTTATCTTAAAATAATAAGATAATATAGTTTTCTAATTTTCTAACTATATAAACATTATTAAAAAATGCTTTTACTTGTATATTAAAGATATAAAAAAAAAAAAAAAAAAAAAGTTTGTAGTTTATATGATAAAAATGATGGATGAAAATATAAATGAATTAAATAAAAGAATAATAAAAAAAATTATGATTATTAATTTTGATGATATTAATGGGTATTCATTGAAAAATATTTATCCTAATTTTAATAACTTGAATTATTTTTTTTCTTTCAAATGTTTAAAAAATAATGATATCACTAAAGAAATTGAGTTGAATAAAATGAAAAACAAAAGAAAAGAAAAGAAATGTAAGAAATATTTTAGTTCTTCATGTTCTTATAATATATACGAAAAAAAAAAGGAAAAACTAGAAAATATGATAAATAATAGTAATTATGATTCTTACAATGAACAAAAATCAGTTAGTAATTGTGAATTATTAAATGATTCAAATAATTTAAATATATACTATAATTCTACAAGTTCAAAAAATCTATGCAACACAAATAATTTAAAAAATTCAAATATCATCATAAGTAGTTTTAATTCAAATTATTCAAGTAATTCTAAAGCTTCTAGTAATTCAAAAAAAGTTTACAAAAAATATTATAACAAAAATTTCAATTCTTATAAAAAAAAATTAACAAGTAAGGATTTAGTAGATCATTTTTCGAAGAAATTTATTAACAAAAATTCAAGCGAAAAAAATTTAGAGAAGAATGAAAATAATACTACAATCATCAAAATTTCCAATGCATGTGTTAATTTAAAAAAAACAATTAATAATAAAAAAGAACATCCATATTATAGTTCAAATTTAAGTGAAAATGAATATAATACAACAAAAAGTTCCTTATATCTTTCAGAAAAATCAAAATATGCTACTTCTATCAAAGGTGATTCTGATAACTTTTCAAGTGGGAACTCTTATTTTAATAACACAAGAAAATTTTATAAAAAATTAAAAAAATTAGATAAATCACCAAGAATGAAAAATTTCAAAGATGAGAATTCTACATTTTTAAATAGTTTAACTAACTATAATAAAAATTTTGAACTTTTAAAAATTCAAAAAGACATTATTAATCTCAATGAATATTCAGAGTATGAAATGAAAATAATTATGATGTATTCTATTCCATATATAAAAAAGAAAAAATTAAATAAATTTAATGGTATAAAAAAAAAAAAAAAAAAAAAAAAAAATTCATAATTAATTTTAGAAAAAAAAAATAAATCTTATTTCAATATATTAACTATTTTTTTTTTTTTTTTTTAAAGATAAAGAATGTATATTGTCATTCCGATTAAGAAGACAATTTAATAAACTTTCTAAGTTTAATAATGTAAATAAATATTACTATGAATTTTTTCATGTTTTTAATAGGTTCTTTAATAAAATAAACATGAAAAATAAAATCATTTATAAATTTTTCTTTTTTCACTTAATTATAGTAAATTTGTTTATATATATATATTTATTATATCAGGAAATATACTGATAAAAATACAGGAGAATTAAAAAATGAAAGTATAATTATAACAACTGAGTTATTAAATATTGATTTTTTTATAAAAGTTATAAAATTTTTTAGTATTGCTTACTTTGATATTGGATTTCATATATTAATAAGTTTTTATGAAAATTTGAATAAATATGAAATTACAAAAGAAAAGTTAGAAATAAAATTAAATTATAAAAATCATAATTTTTATGAGAACATTGAAATTAATTCTATTAATTCTAATTATAAGAATATTATAAATTCAAAAAATAAGAAGAAATTTCAAGAAAATATTTTTGAACTTCAATCTTTGAATAATAACAAAAATGATACATCTATTAACATAATAAGAACAAATAAAAGATTTAATATAGAAAATTTTAATGATCATAATTTTAATCCATTTAAAGTAATTAATACATATATATATATATATATATATATATGAGTTTATATTTTCTATTAATTATTATTATTATTTTTTTTTTTTTTTTTTTTTTTTATAGAATGCCAATATTTATAAAAATTTCTTTTATTTTAAAGAGTATTTATTAATTTTTTTTGAAATGATCTTACTTGGATATCCTATTTGTGTATTATCTAAGAATGTTCAAAGTTAAAATATTTAATTAGCATTATAATAAAAAAATGATGACATGTTTTTTTATTAGACACTTTTTATTTTAGTCTCATAATCTATTTAAATTTTTTCCTATAGAGTTGGCAATTTTATTATATCTCTAATTTCCTTAATATCTCCAATAAATTATTATGGTGATTATAGGTTTAATTAAAATAAATATTTTTTTTTTTTTTTTATACATATTTATAATATACATATTATTTATATATTTTTCTTTTTATTTTTATTTTATTAGACCTTATATTAGTATACATGAAAAAGATTTTATATATTTCTATAGATTAAATAAAAAGAAAAATAAAAAAGTAAAAAACATAATTTTAGGTTTATATCCATCTTCTTTAGTTTATAAAATGGTATTATTTAAAATTAAAATATAAAAAATATATATATATATATATATATATATATATATATATATATATATATATATATATATATATTTTTAATTATCCATATATAATTGTTCTAATAAAATATTCCTCTTTTTGTTTTTATATCAAAAAGAAAAATATGAATATTATTGGAATAAAGTTAAAGAAAAAGGAAATACCTAAAAATATAATGAAAAAATGTAAAATTATAAGAGAAAGAAAAAAAAAATTTTCTTTTATATATTTATCTAATAGTCCTATACTAAATTTAATAGATGTGAAGGATATTTTTCCTCATTGTAAGGAATATGAATATTTTAAGGAGATAAAAAAAAATGAAAAAAAAAAAGTTTTTAATAACCAAAAAAATACAAATAAAATAAAATCATTTAACAAAATAATGGGAAATGAATTAAGTGATTATAGTTTAGAAAACTCCATCAAGTCAGCTTCTTACTTACCATTTAACAAAACATTAAGTTTAGATGAAGATTTATTTTCTTCAAATGATAATGTAGAAAAAAATGAAGAAAAAAGATACTATGAAAATGAAAACTTTTCCATTTCATCTTATTTACCAAATCTTAGTAATTCATTAAAGGAATATCATAACATAAACAATTACTTAAATGATTTAGAAAATGTAGGAAATGCAAAAATTAAATTATACTTAAATGAAATTATGAACGAAATATTAAAACCAATTATTCTATCAATTAAAAACAGTAACAAGCTTAGAAATATTGAATTTTGCAATTTTCAAAAAAATATCTCTTATAGTTCTTTTAATAATTTTTCTCTTATTTATGAAAAGTAATATTGCAAAAAATGTATATATAATAAAATATATATGTATGAATATTATATGAAATATATATTTTTATAAATTATTAATTTTGTTACTTTTATTATTATTTTCTTTTTTTTTTTTAGAGATATAGATAAATTTTACAAAAAATTTCTTAAAAATAATAATTTTTTATATTGGATAAAAAATTATTTTCCCTTTTTAAATGTCTAATAATTAATGGAAAAAAAAAAAAAAAAAAAAAAAAAAAAAAAAGTCTAAAAAACTATTTAAAGCATAAATCGTCTTAATATATTTTTGAATATTATAAAATTGTGAAAAATTAAAGTTTCATGACTTATTAAATATGTTGTATATTTATATATATATTTTTTAATTTTTTAGCAAAGTAACAATTATAGCATCTTTAATAATCTTGTTTTTTTTTATATTAATATTTTTATAATTATCATAAAAAAAGTCATGAATTTTTTTTTTTTTTTTTAAACAATTTCCATAAAATATAGCAAATTCAGAAATATCAAAAATATTTTCATGATTTAATATTATTTCTTTTTGATTTAAAAATTTTAAAAACTTGTCATTTTTTAAAAAGTGAAGATTAAAGAAGGATCGTAAATTTATTAAACAAAATGAAACTTTTCTGTAATCAATGAAGAATATTATTTTAGTTTTATTATTTTTATTTTTAATAAATATATCAAACGTTTTAATAACTTCATTATAATTTAAATTAAAAATAATAATTTCGTTTTTGTTCATAATACATATATCTACTGGTACTCCTAAAAAATTTTCTAAAATATTCAAATTATTTTTATAATTATAAAGATAGTTATTTAACAAAGAGTTAATAAAAATAAAATGTTCACATACTTTTTCTTTATTAGATATAAAGAAATTACCAAACATATTAATATCTTTCATTAATAAAAATGTTTTCATTAATATTAAAAAGATAATATTAGACATCTTAAAGACATTTAAATAACATAGTATAGTAAGATGAAAATATAAATATACATATTGTAAATGTAGAATTGTTTTTTTTTGAGATTTCTTATTTTCTTTATCAATCATACTGTAATTAAATTCTGTTTTTTTCTTGTATAAATATTTCATAATACCATTAAAAATTAAAGTATATTCTTTTTTATTTATTAATGTGTATATTTTTTCAATAAAAAAACGTTTCAGAATTTTACTTTTTTTTATTTTCCTAATATTTTCCAAATTAAAAAATTCTATATTTTTTATTTTTTTTAATTCTATATCAATAAAGTTTTTGCTAACATTAATATCCTTTTTATTTATTTTATATACTTGTTTTTTTGTATATTTTTTAATTAAATAATAATATATATATAAAGGGTTAAAATAAAAAAATAAATACTTTACATAATTTTTAATATATTTTGTACCTTTTGAAAAATAAAAAAAGTTATTTAAGCACATGTTAGATTTATAATAGATAAAAAGTATTTTTTTAGATAAATTGTAACTTTCCTTTTTTTTTTTGAGTAAATTTTTCTTACTATTTTTCAATATTTTAAAAAATTTTTTCTTAAAATATTTTGATTTCATAATGTACTCAAATAAAATAATAATTTCTTTATGTAATTTAAATTTATTTAAATAATAAAAAATAAAAGATATTTGTTTTAAGTTTAGCACTAAAATTCTTTTTTTAAAAATTTTTAACTCACTTACATTTTTCTTATCATCAATTAAGTTATTAATTAAAATTTTTAAATTATCTCTATTACAACAGTTAATTATTTGTTTATAAATTGTGTAAATTCTATTATATTCTAATATTATCTTTTCATATAAAAAAAATTTTTTTTCTTTTTGTTCATTATCTCTATTTTTAAATCTTTCTAATAACTGGTTAATTACACTACTTCTCATATTTTTTAGGATATTTAAATTTTTTTTTATGATATTCAAAGCAATTTTGTTACAATTATATGTATCAAATGCAGATACTAACATAAATAAAAAACATATATTTATTTTACGTAAGGATAATATATGTTTTTTATTAATTATCAACTGCAATAATATTTCATTATTCTTAAATGATTTATCCATTATATCAGTGATATAATTATCTATAAAAAAATATAATTCGTCAAAAGTGTTATTATAAATAAGGATTATCTCATTATTTTTATTAAAACAATTTCTTCTTAATATTTCCTTATAAACTTTAATGATGTATGCAAATAGCTTTTTTTTTTTCATATAAACTTTTTTTTTGTTTAAAAATCTTTTTAAAAAAACATTTCTGTTATTATCACTTAATTTGTTATTTAATGAATCATTTTTTTTTATATTTATAAAGATATTATTTTTTGTTTTTTTTTCTTTTTTCATTAATAATTTTTCTTTACCTGATATCTTTTTTTTTTCACAAATTTTATTTATATCATTTTCAAAAGTGATATTATTACTCTTTTTCTCACTTTTTTCTAATAAATTATTTTTAAAGTAATTAATAGATTTCTTATTTATAAAATCAACACTACTTAAATTTAAATCAAGTAAGAAAACATATTGTAAAAATAGTAAAACAGAGTATAATTTATATGTATCTTCTTCTCTATATAATTTATTAAACATAAAATATTTCAAATAGAATATTATTTTTTCATTTAATTCTTTTGGATATTTAAAAAAATAATTGCTATTACTAAACAGATCTTCATTGTATATTTTAATATGATTAATAAAATAACTTTCATTCGTAGATCTATATGTATCATTTTCTACATGATACTTTTTTTTTAAATAAAAAAATTTCATTGAATAGGATAATGTTATAAAAAAATAATACCATTTATAATCATAAAGAATATTATTGTCTAAATAATATGTATAAAACTGTTTAAGAAATTCTTTTATGAAATAATAATTCCTTTTTTTAAAAAAGGCATTTAAAATATTTATATATACTAAAAAATTGCTATTCAATTTACTATATCCCTTTTTCTTTTTATTGATATTGTAATTTTTACTGTTAATATTATTGTTAAAAAAACATTTGTCGCTTAAATAAATATTATCTGTCATAAAGTTTTCAATAAAATTAGATGTGTTAATAGATAAAAAATTTAATTTGAATTTTTCTTTTTTATTACTTAATGAAACACCATATAAAGTATCGTGTGTTAATTGAGGACATATTAAATATTTATTCAAGACATTATTTTCATTTAATTTATTAATAAAATTTATTATAAATATATTATTCTTATTGAGAATTTTATAAACGTAGTTTTTGAAAAAAAGTAATAATAATCTATATTGTGAATGGAGATAGAAATGATTTAAAATGATTAATCGGTCAAATATATCATAGTAATTGATATTTCTTTTAATTTTTTTATATACTTTGTTTATGTTTTTTCTATTTTTTAAACCAACAAATATTATGTTTTGTTTCTTTCTTATTTTTAAATATATATCTATTATTTTGTTATCACATATATTATCTTTTTTTTTTTTTTTTTTAACATTTTTTTTTAAAATTCTTGCGTGATTTAGAATAAATTTATAATTATTACTATCAATTAAATTTAATAATTTTTCATCGCTTTTATTGTAATTAATAACTAAATATTTCAAAATGATATGATATACAATATTTTCTTTTATATAAAAATCATTTAAGCTAAAATTTTCTAACAAAATTTTTAAATATCTTTTTGATATACTAGGTAAATAATGCAAACACAAAAAAGTATTCAACTCATTTCTATTTTTATAAAAAAGACCCTTACTCAATTTAAAATTTATTTTATTATTTAGATTGAAATTAATAAAGGATATTTTTTTTTCCTTCATTAATTTTTCTTGGAATTTTTCATTTATTTTTAATCCTATTATGGGTGATTGTATTGAGCTTATAAATGTTGAATCTTTACATTTTTTATATTTTATAATTTTCACTCGTTTCTTATATTTATTTATAGCATAATTTATATATAATTGTGTTCCTTTATATGATTTTTTGTAATTTTTATAACATAAATAGTATTTAATTACATTATATATAATTACTACGTAAAAAAAATAAAAATACATATCTATATATGTAACAATTCATTCCTCTTTTTGTTTCTTTCCTATTTTTATATATTTTTTAATGTTATTTTTTTCTTTTTTTACACCATAAAAGTACAAATTTTCTTTTCTATTATACACAATTATTTCAGCTTCCTGTTTTTTTTTTTTTTTTTTTTATATATTAATTTATATAAATATTTTGCTAATACATCTTCATTTTATTTATTTATTCACTCATATTATTTTGTTTTAATTTTTACTTTATATTCATTTATTTCCTTGCATTCGTATATTTGTTTATTTTATTTTATTTTATTTTATTTTATTTCATTTTATTTTATTTTTATTTTTATTTTTATTTTATTTTATTTTATTTTTTTTTTTTTTTTTAAATTCATCCAATCTTTAATGGATAAAAAAAAAAAAAAAAAAAAATAATAAAATTGTACCTTTATATTAAAAGAAATATATAAACCTTCTTAAAAAATAAAACATAATTCTTTTTAAGATATATATATATTTTTTTAATATTTTATTTTTTAATATTTTACATGGAATTTTTAATAGTACATTTAAACGTAAAGCAATATTTTATTTTCCGTTTTTATTAAAGTTCATACATTTTCTACATTTATATTAAATATAATATATATTTTGTGTTTAATTTTAAAAATTTAATTTAATTATATCCAAAAAAAATTTTTTTTTCAAATCACTTAGAAAATGTAAAAAAGAAATAAACTTATCTATATTCATAAAAATTCTATTTTTTTTTTATAGAAATTTCACTACCATAAATATTATATCATACTTTAAGCAACATATTTGTTTATATTTTTTTTTACTATGTATACAAAATATTTTAGTAAGTTCTATGCAACTAAAAATGCTATAATTTAAGTCATAAAAAAAAAAAAAAAAAAAAAAAAAAAATTAGTAGAAAATATATATTAATATAATTTTTTATTGAGTATTACTCTTATTATTTATTTGCTAATGTATTTATATATGTATAATTTATTATATTTATTATAAAATATTATTTTTTTTTAAAAATAAGATGGAAGAAGCTTATGCTGGATCTTGTGTTCAGAGTCTCTTTGAACCAAAAGTAGATTTTTCTATTTGTACAAATAAATCTATTAAATTGTTTTTAAAAGATTTAAATAGTTTGAATTGCTCTAAAAATGCAATAGATAACTCTAATGAAAACAAATTAAATGATATTAATAAAAGTGAATTAAATAACAATCATAATAAAAATGATAATAAAAATGAAAAAGACGTAGAAAATAATAGCTTATCAAAAGATGAAGATAAAAACTTATTAAATTTTGAAAATAAAGATTCACTGAATAGCAATAATGAAAAAGGAACAAATAATGATAATTATAAATATGCAACAGAAGAAAATATCAAAAAAATGTTAGATGAAAATTTATCTCTTTTAAATGGTTATTCTTACTTTAACAGAATAGGACATAATATAAATTTATTACACACAGAATTATCATCAGTAAAAAAAGACTTTCTTTTTTTAAGTAAACAAACAAGACTTAAAGTAAAAAAATTAAAAAATATTAAAAAAAAAAATATAATATATAAAGGTTTGCTTGAAGAGGTAAAAGAAGAAAGAAAAAGAAAAGAAATGTATGAAAAATTAAGTATAGAAATTCAAAAGTTGGATGATGTAAGAAAAATTCAAAAAAAACAAAAGGCAGAAAAATGTTCAATTGAAAATTTTGAAAAAAAAATTAAAAATATAGAAAACACAATTATTTCTAATAATAATAATGTTCTTAAAACTATTGAACAAATTAATGAAATTATATCAACAAATTTACAAACAGACATTAAATAATTTTACCAAAAAAAAAGGAAAAAAAAATTAATATGGAATATAAAATTTTTACTATTTTGACTTTAACAAAAAATGTAATAAGTAAAAAAAATACCATAAGATATTAATATCAATTCAATTCAATTTTTTTCTTTTTTTTTTTTTTTTTTTTGTCCACTTTTATTCAACTATGCTCTTATGAAGATCTTTGTATAACTCTAATTCTTTTTTTTTTTCATCTAAAACACTACATAATAAAAAGTATATAATGTAATTTTAAATATATATATAGGAAATATTAATTGTTAAACTTTCATATAAAATATATAGATAAGAATTATTAAAATTACATTGTAATATATGTTTTGCTATAGTTCTTTAATTCCATCAGAATTGCACACTCCTAATAAGAAAAATACACGAAAAAATAAACAAATAATATAAAAATATATAAATTTAAAGAATTTTCTTTTTTACAGTGATGTATAAATATTTGGAATAATTTATTACTATGCTAAATAAATTATTATATATTATAATATAAAATTACTTATAAAAAGAGAAACATAATATAAAATATTAAAAAATATTAAAATAGATAAATAAAAATATATTTTTTACTTTTTGAAGTATTGATAATTTTTCTTTAAAAATTTTTTCATTTTCCATTTTGATTTTATTAAGTTCATTTTCTTTCTCTTCTTTTGATGCCAACACTTCTTTAAGCATTTCATTTGCTTCGTTCTAATAAAAAATAAAAATACGAATAATATAACTATGTTTCTTTAATTATTATTTTACAATCATAATAATTATAATATATATATATATATATATATGAAAAAATTATTATTAAAAAAAAACAAAAAAAAATGTGTAAATAAATGAATAAGTTATTATAATGTAGTAATATAAAAAAAGTAATGCTTGTAAGTGTATTAAATTATTGTTTTACTTTTTTCTCCTTTGCTTCTTCTAACATTTTCTATAAATAAAAAATAAAAAATTTATAATCGGATATTTATTATAGTCTCATAATAACATATGTTATATACATACATAACACACGATAAATAAAATAAAATAAAATAATATATATTAAAACTAGTATGTACAAATACATATAAATTTAAATATATAATTTATATCATATTGAAAATATAAAATGATAATAATAATAATAATAAGTGAATATATAAAAAAAAAAAATATCTCAAATAAATATATTAAATCTATAATGCATATATATTTTAAAGAAGCTTTATTTTTTATTTTTATTTTTTTTTTTGTGTTAATTATATTACTTGGTTTTGAGATACAATTTGATTATACTTATTTGTTGATGTATTTAAAAAGTTATTAGTATCTTCATTTAATTTTTTCACTAAATTTTCTTCTTCCAGGATGCATTCTTTTAAATATTTTATTTCTCCTTCGACAATTTTAGTTTGTTTCTCATGTTCTTCAATTAAATTTAAGGAATTTTTTAATTCTTGCTCATCTTGTTCAATAAATGTTTTTATATCATTTTTCCTATCTTTCCAGTTCATATTTAACATATTATCTACTGTAAAGGAATCAATATTTATGTTAATATTATTTATTTTATTCCATTCAGAAATAGAAATATTTTTATATAAATTTATATTTTCTTTTATTTCTATTAATTTTTCGTTAATATTTTTTGCTAATTTTTTTAAATCATTATTTCTATTATTTAATTTTTCACTTAAATTAGGATACTCATTATTTAAGTTTTTTATTTCATTTTTTATATTTTCTATTTTTTCTTTATTTTTATCTATATTTTCATTCATTTGTAAAAATTGAGCTTTATTTAATGTTTGTTTTTGTAATATTTCTTTAACTTTATTTATTTCTTCTATAATTTTTTCTGTTTTTTCTTTTTCTTCTTTATATGATTTTTTACATATTTCAATTTCTTTTTCTAATTTTTTAGTTTCTTCTAAACTATTAGTATATAGTAGCTTTATTTTCTTATTTTCTTCACATAAAACTTTATTTCTTTTAATTAATTCTTCGTTTTCCTTCATATGATTTTTTATTTCTTCAATTTTTTTTTTCTTTTCTGAAATATCTTCATTTTTTTTATTTATATTATTTTCCAACCTATTTATTTCTTTGTCTAATTTGGCATTCATTATGTCATTCAAATTTCTTTCTTCTCTATTGATATATGATTTATAACTGTGTAAAATAAATTCATCCATTTTTATTTCATTATCATCATTCAAATCATCAGAAAAATTCATTTCTTTTTCTTCATTTATATCATTAAAGCATTCTGCTTCAAAAATTAGTAATTGGCATAACCAGGCTAAAGCAGATAAATGAGTGTTGTATTGTAGACCAGTAGTTGGAGCTACTAAAGTTGACTTGGATATAGTATATGGATAGCCGATATCTTTGTAAAAACTTAACACTACTTCGCCATAATTATCTTTATTCACTTCAATTAAAGGATCAACGTGTTTAAATATAAAATTCCATATATTTATTAAATCAGTCATACTTGGATTTTTAAATAAATTTGGAGATATACTTCCACTATAATTCTTCCATCCCAAATATCGAATTAATGTTTTCACATTTTCTTTTTTATCGCTTTTATCTGCTTTTTTTATATATACAGATGCATTAGATTTATAAAATGATAAAGCATTTAACGATGTCCTTGATTTTGATTTTTTTTCAGTAGAAATATACACACTGTTATTTAAACTACTATTATTATTAAACACAGAAAGTGTTGGATTAAACTTATACACAGAATGATTATTCATTCTGCAAAAAAGTAATTTAAAAAGAAGAAAAAAAAAGAAAAAAAATTTTTAACTCTTTATTCGGATTAATAAATTTTACTTATTTTTTATTAAAAAGGAAAAAAAGTAATAATATTTAAAAAGAAAAATTAAAAATAAAAATTGAAATATGTATATTACAAAAAATATGTTTCCTAATTTAATTTTAAAAATGTTGTATTCATTATGTATTTTGTTTTTTATATTAATTAAAAAATATAAAATATATTTATGTAGCCAATATATAAAAAAAAAAAAAAAAAAAAAAAGTTAAATCTGAACAGTTCATTTTTTTTTTTTCTTTTTTATTAAATGTGCATAATATATTTTAAGATTAAAAATTATTTTTTTTAATATGTAAATTTATTAAATACTTTTAAATTTTTTATGACATTTTAGAAAATAAAAAAATAGAAATTATTATTAGGAATAATGCATATTTATTATAATGTTTATTTTACACTCCACAGGAATACCTTGTATAAAATTTTTTTTACAGTGCATTTTGTTATGTAAATTATAAAAGAAAAAATAACAATATAAATGATTTATTTTTAATGATTATTTGAAATTATTTTTTCTTATGTTTTTCATCATAAATATTTTATTTTGTTCACTTATATTATTTCAATAGAATCTTTTTACTTTCATTAATGTATAGATAAAATAATGTAATATTTTTTTTTTTTTTTTTTTTTTTTTTTTTAAAAAAAAAAAAAA